AATAAAGCTTTATCACTACTTAATTTTTTAAAACGTCTACACATATCTCGAGTGTAATTCCAAAAACTACCTATTAAGGCAATCAGGGCAGCTGGCAACTCTCCACCTTCAGAGGACAAGGGGTGTGCATGTTGCCGGGGACAGCAGGGTACAGATCCCAGGCCCAGAGATGCCAATACTGACCCACTGAGACAGGATCTGCGGGATGGGAATCTATGCTCTTTAAAAGCACCTCCGGGGGTTTGAATGAATAACGGGTTAGCTCACTGGGGCAGAGGCAGGGGGTCCTGGGCTGTGGCGCTTAATAAGTAACACCTGTTGTCTCCGGGCTCTGGAACACTGGTTTTGCAAGATCTAAGTTTCAGGGGGCCTAGTTCTGCGGGATCTGGGGTCTATTTTTCCGCGAAAGGGGGTCTAGGCTCTAGGGTTTGGGCCTGAATTCTGGGGGTTTTGAGAATCGGGGTTCCGTGGCTGACCTCACTGCACTTGCCCCCTCTGGCGCGTCTGGGGAGGGTGGCGGAGCCCGCGCAGGGCAGAGGGAAGGACTCCGACAGCGTGGGGCTGCCAGGAGCCGCCCGGTGTCCGAAGCGAGGCCACAGCGACCCAGAGAGGCCAAGCGACCGGCGCAGTCACACCACGAGGCGAGGCGGGCCGGGCCGGGGGTGGACGCTCACCTCGATGAGCGAGTAGTTGATCTCCACATCTGACTTGACGAAGCCTCCGCAGCCCACCACGATATCCTCGGAGCCGCGAGCCGGCCCCACGCCGCTCAGCAGCAGCAGCACGGCGGCGGCGACCCCCACGGGCCCCGCGCCCCGGCCTGCCCGCATGGCCCGGCCTCCCCAGCCCCAGCCTCCGCAGGCCGCCCGGTCCCGCCCCTCACACCACACGCCGCCCGCTCCTTCCCTCTCTTTGCTGGATGACAGCCCAGGCCCCGCCCACCTCGCCGCCGCCGCCGCCGCCGCCGCCGCGCCGGCGCGCTAAGTCCCCACGTCCAGGCTCCGCCCCCCCCCAGCGGGCAGAGGGGGGAGGGGGGGGAGAGAGAGAGAGAGAGAGAGAGGGGGAGAGAGAGGGAGAGAGAGAGAGCGCGCGAGAGAGCTACACCGCATGCTCAGCAAGGAAACCGACAACTTCTGCCTCCTGGAGGCCCGGAGGACTCTGCGCACCCTCTGGCAGGTGCAGCATAGAGTGCGCGTGTACCAACCCAAACTGCAAAGCCAAATTCTACTTTAGATTCAAAAGCATAGCTGAAAAAAAAAAAAAAAAAAGCACAGCTGGAAAGAACGATAGACTTTGTTAAAGTATTCAACAATTCTCCCAAATATATTTAAACCATATATTTCATAAGTGATATATGATCTCAAAAGCCCTTTAGAAATTTGTAAATTAGTTACAAATTTTTCCACGATAAGTGATTAGCTAATTTTTTTTTAAAAAAAACATGTTGTCTAAAGTCAGCATAATATTAAAGGAGGCAGCTGGGTATGGTAGCACACACCTATAATCCCAGCACTCTGGGAAGCTGAAACAGGAGGATCCCAAATTTGAATCTAGTCTGAGCAACTTAGTAAGACTGTCTCAAAATAGAAAAAGGACTGGGGATGCAGCTCAGTGCGAAGGTATTTAGCTTAATCTCGATTTGCGCCAAAAGAAAAAATTAAAGAAAGTATTTAAAATGTATTTTAACTCCAGTTCTAATATTTGATAGAAAGAGAGTTGAGTTTTTTCTCCCATAATCTTGCAGCACATGCCATTTAATTACCTTTGAATCCATCCTCTAAGATGAAATATAATTTGTCCAAAAAGACTTCAAATACAAGCATCTATTTTGTCCAAAAGCCTGGATGTATGGTATAACATAGGCCAAATTTAATTACAAATCCTGTATCAAAAGGAAATAAATTGTTTTCTGGTCTGATATTTGGAATTCTTCCATTTTGCTCCTGAAAGTGCCAAGGGCTTTATTTTGAAAGTCTTTTTAAAAAATGATTGTCCACTTTGCCTAAAACTCAAGCAAAACACAGCTAAGAATAACAATGAATTAAAACTACACAATGGGCAAAACCTTCACAGGGGCTTCAAGAGAATGAAACATTGACCACAGGGCCATTGACCACAGGGCCACATTGTGCCTGACTTCTGTTTCTCACTCTAATCCCCACTCAAAATACAATGAGGCTCTCAGCTAGTGTCATACAGAGAAATGTTTCATGTAGTGTATTCACTGGTGTTTGTTATTTATGACCATAATCAATACATGCCTTTTGCCCTCCTTAACATGAACCTCTGTTTTTGGTTTTGTGTTGTTGTTTTTTTTTTCTTTTGGTATCAGGGATCGAACTCAGGACCTTGTGGTTGTGAGGCAGGTGCATGAATCTCTGATATGTCTTAGAACATCATCGGGGGTGAAATCCATGGCGGTCTGTAACAGCTTCTCATCTTGTGGAATGAGAAGCAGAGACCAGAGAGGGGAAAAGGACTCATCTAGAACTCTTTATGCATAGCCATATGTGTTCTAAGAGCTAGAAAGTAGGAATTGGGATCCCCAAGTCCTGTTTTTTTGTTCACCCCGATTGATTTCTGCCATGTTCTTCTGACTTCCTGAGCAGGTTCTGTAATTCATCTTCAACCATACAAAGAAATAAACCCCCAGGGTGGTGACAGTGTCAATGAGAAGGTGGTGGTTTGCAGGAAGAGAGAGGTTCTACTTTCCCCATAATTTCTATGGCTCCACCAAAACCACCTCAAATAAGCAGGTAAGATGTTCATGTAAGGAGCAGACCTGCCATGCTCAGCTTCAAGACAAACCCTGGTTCTTTGTGAGTCTCCTCTTCCAAAAGACATGTGCAGGTGGACAGCTGAAGTGGGCCAAGAAACCACACTGGATGGGGGAGACTCCAAAGATAGGCAAGCAAGGCATGATGATGCAGGAGGATCACAAGTTCAAGTCTCACCTGGGCAACTTATCATGACCCTGTCTCAAATTAGGGGGCAGGCTGGGGATTTAGCTCAGTGGTTCCACTGCCTGCCTTGCAAGCGCAAGGTCCCAAGTTCGATCCCTGGTACAAAAAAAAAAAATAGACCTTCAAATTAGGGGGCAGAGTGAGAAGCCTGAAGATGTATCTATAGCTCAGTCTAAGGCACTGAGTTGGATCCCAAGTACCAAAAAGGGGTGAGGGACGGGTCTTTGGGACCCCACAATACGGAGGCCCTGTGAGAGGTGAGGCTGGAGAAAAAGGAGGACAAGATCTGGAGGAAAGTCACATCTGGGGAGGGGCTTACACCACACCATGCCACACCACTGCTCTGCTGGAACACGCAGCTACTGGGATCCTGCTAGGACTGTGAACTCTCAGCTTCAGTGATGAATTAAAGAGGCAGAGTTTAAAATAAAAGAAGATGGGAAAAGATGGGGGGAAAGGAAGATAGACAGCTACTCTGAGAGAGTGGGGAACATCAGAAGTGAATACCTGTGGATTTTTGTCCTCAGCTCCTTTTTATTTAGGACTAGTGATTTCTCCCACCCTCCAAGGTGGGCACCCAGAAGTTGCTGCCATCTAATTGGCTCTGGCTGTCTTTGATCCTAACCTAAGCACTTCTATCTGGCCATTTGATTTCTTCCTGTCCCTTTGTGATGGATAAGGGGGGGAGGGTAGAGAAAGTTAAAGATTAATGATTAAGTAAGTGAGACATGTTAATGATTAATGGTTACGTTAAGGGGACATTTGTGTTTTATATATTAAACAAGAGTCCTTAGCTGGCTCTTCCTTATCTCCTTTTCATTTTGGGAAGGGCTGGTTACCCTGACCTTTCATGTTCCTGGCTACATCCCTGTTTTGCCTGTGAACTCTTCTTACTAAATCATGTTAATTGTGTTACCTGGTGCTTTCCCGGGTCTATTCTCTCTCTCTCTCTCTCTCTCTCTCTCTCTCTCTGATTGCTGGATCTAACTGCAGAGGCCAAAAGCTGCCTTTAGTAAGATTTCCTATTAATTTTGTTAATAAAGCTTAATTAGATTCTATTTTATCCTTTCTCCTGGCTATAGCCTCCTGCCTCTACAGAAGGACAGACAGAGCAGAGGTTTTTATTCTTCACCCTCACAGAATACCAAGAATTGTCTGCCTGAAAGAGCTAAGTTGTACAATCCTATCTTAAATGCATGCTTGTTCCTCTCCAAAAACAAAAAAGAAAAGTAGCATCCCTGTGATTCCTGTACTGGTGCATTCCCATCTTTTATTTATGCATTTATGATAACGCTACAGTCTTTGAAAAGATGCAGCAGCTGCAAACTCTGACACAAGCTGCACATCTTGCTTTAAAACTCAGGACACAGGAAGAGTGGTACACGCCTTACCTTCAGTATCACATCTGGTGTGGGTAGATTTTATCTAGGGTTCATAAACTTTCAATCAATACAAGATTTAGAGATATAAGTCTAGAAGAAGAAACCAAATCACTTTATTAGAAAGAGGCGAGTAAGAAAGGGAGCCTGGAGCCAGTACCCAGCCTCTTTTATTATATGGCACGGAAGGGACTCTCTCCTCTGAGAGCTGTTATAACCTGGTGGGCTCTTTTAGGCTCTGAGACCCTGAGTCGGCCACTGTCCCTTTGCATTGCCTACCTGCAAATTCTTGGGTAAGCTCTCCTTGGTCCTCTTTGTTTTGTCAGGCGATGTCTTTGAGATTTAAAGCAGAACCTTACATTCAAGGCTGAATTAGCAATCAGTAAAGGGATATATGTACACTGTAGTGCATTAACATGGTGAGAGAACAATAATCTATATGTATTTGTATGTAGGTGTGTGTGTCCAGGCGTGAGCCCAGCAGTTTGAGACTGGTCTGGGTAACATAGCAAGACCCCTGTTTAAAATATAAAAATAATATCTAACTTATTTAACATGTACTGTGTGCCCTGCACTGTACTAAATTTTTTTTTTTTTTTTGGAACCCGGGATCGAACTCGAGTCCTTGCGCTTGCGCAGCAGGCTGCGAAACCACTGAGCTAAATAAATCCCTAGCCCTGTACTAAACTCTTTATTAAGAATCCTCTTAAATTTTTCCTGCAGATAGTGCCCACCCCCGTGGTTGGACACTTAGGCCACCATCACACCTCCACTTACGACACAGTGCACACCTGTCGCTCCCTCCGCCAGTCTAGAGTGTGGTGGTCGCTGGTCTGGGGATCACCTCCCTAGGCGCCTGCCTGGGCCTGAGTCCACCTCCCCTCGTTCCGCCCGCACCGTCCTCCCCAGCCGTGCAGCCAGACCTTTGCCCCGGGCCTGGCGATCCGAGCTCCAGCCGCTCCCGGACCCGCCCCTTGCCCGGGAGAGCGCGGGGGTGAGGCTGCGGGACAGACGGACCGACAGACTCCGCTGGAACCGACAGCGGGGCGCCGATGGCCGCGCCGGGCGAACCCTGCACCGGGCCCGGGGTGAGTTCCGCTCCCCACTCGTAGTCAGCCAGGACTGCAAACCCGGGGAGAGGAGAGACCCCCCGAACTCTGGGCCCCTGCCGTGCAGGCACCGCGGATTGTGACCGGCAGAGCCCAGGACTTTTCAGGGGTCCCAGGACCTCGCAGATACTGGGGACTTTGACCTTATTTGCATAAAGCTGGGGGACCTTCCCACTCTCAGAGAGCCCCTTCCTGTCTCCTGGAGCCCCTGCCTCCCTGGCTGCCTCCCCCTTCGGATCCCAACAAAGCACTGCAGGGAGTGGAGTTGGTGGGGTGGCCTGGGGGCCGCGAACTCCCGACGTCGGGGAGGGGGGGGGACAATGAGACGGACGCTGGCTCCGCGCCTGCGCTGTGCGGTGGCTTTCCGCTAGCGTCCCACGCATCACCGTGCTTAGTGGGAAGGGTGCTCTCCCGTTTCGTCCCTGTAAAAGGGAAGGAAACGGAGGCCCTGCGCCTGGCTGGTGAGTAGTGAAGCCAGGACCAAAGATAAGCGCTGAGCAGGGTGGGGTCAAGGTCGGAGGACTGGGGCCGCCAGGCCCTCTAAACTCGCCACACTGCTAGTCCCGAAGAGAGGGCCCGCAGAAGGGTCCGGGTAAACACCGCAGATGGAGCTGGGCTCAGGGACGCACACCTGGGACCCCCGCGCTCCGGGGACCTGAGGCAGCAGCGTTGCAAGCTTAAGTTCAGCTTGGGCAACTTAATGAGGTCCTGTCTCAAAATCTAAAAAACATTGAAAGGGGTCAGAGGTGCACCTCATCGTCTCCTCGTGAAGGCCCTGGATTCCATCCCCAGTACGGGGTTAAAACAAACTCGCAAATCCAGACAGGCTTCGAGGCAGTTGTGCCCCTGCCAGAGTCAGCAGCTCCTGTTTTGTGGGCTGGAAGGGAGCAGCCTACCTCTTGGTGACGCTCATCTACTGTCTGTGGCATGGAGACAGTGACATCTGCCTCCTAGAATTGTTACCGGCAGTGACCCTCTGTGTCTAGCACTCATTACGGAGCCCAGGCTTTCTCCACTCCAGGACCCAACTCCCCGGGTTCAAATCCCAGCCCCACCACTTCCCATCTGGGAAGCATCAGCCAAGTTACTCAGCCTCTCTGGGTCTCAGCTTCCTCATCTGCTAAATCAGTGGGATGACTGCATCTACTTTGCAGAGCTGAGGCTAGGATGAGAAGAGTTGAAAATCCAAAGACATTCCACAGAGGGCTCGGAACACGTGTATGTAATGTTAGGGTCCAAAACGCTGCCTGACCCTGTGGGTGAGACTGGGACCCGGCTGTTGTTCCGTGCTAAGCTCCCCACCCTCTGTGTCTTTTCAGGTGTGGAACCAAACGGAGCCGGAGCCTGCTGCCTCCCACCTGCTGAGCCTGTGCTTCCTGAAGGCAGCAGGGGTCTGGGTGCCCCCTCTGTACCTCTGGGTCCTCGGCCCCTTCTACCTTCTCTACATCCACCGGCATGGCCGGGGCTACCTCCGGATGTCCCCCCTCTTCAAAGCCAAAATGGTAGCCATTGCCCCTGGGAGCACAGAACCAGACAGTGGGGAGGGGCAGGCTGGAGCCTGGCGGAGATCCCAAAATGAACACCCCTCCCATCAGGGCGCACACAGGGTGTGATGGAAGGGAACCTGCTGAGGAAGCAGATCAGTACTCCCGAGGTGCCAGAGATAAACCAAGTGGAGCACAGTTAAAGTTCCCTTGGACACATTTTGTAATTGTGAAAACCCATGCACATTCATACAGACACACACGTGTTCTAGGACGGCAGTAGCTCCCACAACCTGCCATTTCCCACTGTGCCATGGGCACTTTTGGGGTACACAGAATGCTTTTAGGACCACACAAGGATAGACTTCTTAAATTTTAACAGTTAAGCTTTTACTTTATGGGATTTTATTTTCTGGGCTGGGATAGGAAGAACCCAGGGGTTTGTGAATGCTAAGCTGCACCTCAGAGAAATAGTCCCAGCCCAGTTATGCACTCATTTTTGTGTTTCCCCCGCTGACAAACCTACTGAACAATTTTTTATATTGTTATGTGCTCACGTTAGTGTGTTAGTTAACACTGGCTTTCCAAGTGCGAGCCTTTGTGCTCACTGTCCTCCATACTGGTATAGGAATGTTCTTCAAAGTTCTTTCACTTCCATGGCACCTTGCTAAGTCAGCTCTGCTGCTGCCACCTGTCTGTCCAGAGACTGGCAGACTGAGAGGGCCAGAGAGTTGGGGCTTGCAGGCCCCACAGTCATCTCCCTTCCAAAAGCTGGGTTCCGCTAACGCACTGTGAAAACAGCCATAGAAGTCATGAATAAATAGGCGTGACTGTGTTTCAATAGACATTACGGTCACTGAAATGTGAATTGCTTCTAATTTTCCCTCATCACTAATGATTTTTTAATTTAAAAAAATTTTTTTTGTTGTTGTTTTTGTTTTTGGTACCAGGAACCAAACTCCGGTCCTTGTGCTTGCAAGGCAGGTGGCGGAACCACTGAGCTAAATCCCCGGCCCTTAAAAATTTTTAATGATTAAAAATTATTTCTAATGATTTCTTAGCTCCCAGGCCATACAAAAGCAGATGCCAGCCCAACTTAGCCTGGAGATGGGATTTGCCAACCCTGCTCTAGGCTAACTGGGTACTGGAAGAATTCTAGCCTGCCTTCTCTATGGTGTATGCGTGCACACTTTTTCTTTCTTGCTTTATTTTATTCAAAAGAGAGAGAAGTATATAGCAGAGATGCCTGGAAACTTACTGACCGCACGCAAAGCTTCTCCTGGACTTAGTAGCACAGACTGCAGACGCTTGGTAGAAACTCCTCTTCCCTCCTGGCTTCACGCTGGAAGCCACGGCGCACCTGCACTGGTGGGGATCCACTCGTGGGGTCCTGGCCTGCTGCGAATGACTCATGGCAATCACAGTCAGGAGTGGTCTGCGGTGTCCCTCCTTCGGTCTTCATGGTGACACACTGATAACATCGGTTCATTCCAGGGCCCCGCTGGGGACTCTGCAGAACCACCACCCAAGTGGCCTGAGGTCATTGGCTGCCACCTTCCCTCTTACTCACAGCCTTATCTGAGCTGTTTCCCCAGGTCCTTGGGTTTGCCCTCATCCTCCTGTGCACCTTCAATGTGGCTGTGCCTCTGTGGAGAATCCAGCAGGGGAAGCCCCAGGCCCCGGAAGTCCTCATTCGTCCTGCAGTGTGGCTCACCACCATGGTAACAGCCTCTCTGCTGGGCCTGCCTGGCTGCTGCTTTTCCAGCGTGGGTGGAGGGCATGGGAAAAGTGGCGTTTCCCTCCATCCCCTTCCCTCCCCGCAACCCTCTAAGGCCCATCTGGACTTTCCTGCCCAGACCTTTGCCATGTTCCTGGTCCACGTGGAGAGGAAGAAGGGCGTCCAGGCATCCGGGGTGCAGTTTGGGTACTGGCTGCTCTGCTGTCTCTTGCCAGCTACCAGCACTGCCCAGCAGGCCTCAAGTGGGGTAAGTGGAGGCCTGGGCCATGGGGGAGACCAGGAAGCCTGGGTCCCTTTTGCCTCCTCCTCTTTCCATGCATGATTTCTACTCTCCATGGGGACACCCAGGCTCTTACACGCTGAAGACACACAAACACATCCTCACCTCTAAGTACCCGTGATTTCATACATTTTCTATTTTGTTTTAAAATGACCCATAATAATTGCAGATATTCATGGGGCACTGTGTGGTTGTTTTGTTTTCTTTATTTCACGGGACAGCGATGGAACCCAGGCTGTCATGCGTGCTAGACAAGTGCTTTACCACTGAGCTGCATCCCCAACCCTTTAAAAAAAAATTTTTTTTTTAGTACCAGGGATCGAACTTGGGTCCTTGCACTTGTGAGGCAAGCAGCAGAACCGCTAAGCCAAATCCCCAACCCAACCCAACCCTTTAAAATTTTGAGGCATGGTCTTGCTAAGTTGCTTAGGGTGGCCTCAAATTTGTGATCCTCCTGCCTCAGCTGGTATTTTGATGCATGTGTGCACTGTGTAATAATCAGAGCAGGGTATTTAGCACACTAACACCTCACACCGTCATCGTTTCTATTTGGTTAGTGCATTCAGAGTTTTCTCCTCTACCTGTTTTGAAATATTCAGTGTAATATTGTTAATTAGGGTCCCCCTGCTGTGACCACTATAGTGCGTATTATTCCTAATTGTACCTGCTGACAACTCTCTCCCTGTCCTTGCTCCCTCCTGGTAACCACCATTCTACGCTCAACTTCTATGGAATCAACTCTTTACATCCCACATGTGAGTGAGGTCACGCAGTATTTATCTTTCTGTGCCCGATTTATTTCCCTTAACATAATGATCTCCAAGTTCATTCACACTGTTGCCCAGACCTTTTTTATCGACACAAATTCCCATTGTCAGCTTTGCACAGTGTCAGTATCGGAGCCAATGAGGTTTATCTGAGGTGCGATTATTGCTAATTGAAAACTTCCCAATACCCCGCCATGACGACTTGAAATATAGTCGGCATGGGCAACTTTTGACAGTCTCTATGGAGACTGAGAAAAAAAATTCCCATTGTCCTACACAGCTTTATCACATACTCTGTTCGCACGCTACACACACACACTGTGCCTCACATGCACAACCTGGTCACACACGCGTGTCTGCTCTTCCTTGTGTACATGCAGGCTTCCCCTGACCCTCACACGGGGATTCTCCCCCACATTCCCAGATGTGTATTTACACTCATTTTGCCCAGCCACTTATATTTCAGTTTCCCAATTTGGGAAGCGGCATTCCTGTATCAGAGGACATAGTGGATCATTTTCTTTGCAAAGAAAAAAAAATATATATATAGTCCGAACCAGGTTTTCTATAGCTGCTTTCCGTTTAGCACTGCTGGGGATTAAATCCAGGGCGGGTGGCTGTCACCAAGCTCCCTACCACTGAGTCTCCTCCCCACCCCTCCTAGACTAGGTTCTCACAGGCTCGGCATTGTTGACGTCATGGCTGGAAAACACTCCACTGGGAGATAAGGCTACCCCATCCTTTGTGCCCTACCCACTTGCTACCAACATGGCAGCCCCCAGCATTGCAGTATGACCCCCAATGCCTCTAGATGTTGCCAAATGTCCCCTGGGGGCACAGCCACCCTCCTGCCTGGAAGGCAGGAGAAGGTGCCCATGATGGAGGCAGGTCGAGGCTGGACAGGGTTCCCATGCCAGCAGCAGTCTAGTCTAGCACTCACTTGCCTGGGCTCAGAGGAGCCACCTGGAAACCAGAGATCAGGCTGCAGCAGGTTGCACCCCATCATTTCCTCTGCCCAGTGATTACTTTGCCCTATCCCTACAGGGGAAGGTAGAGGAATATCATCCTGTCCTTAAGGAGAGAGTTTTATTTTGTACTTTTTGTGTGGTGCTGGGGATGGAACCCAGGGCCTAGCCCGTGCTCAGCAGGTACTCCACCACTGAGCTATGCCCTGGCCTAAGGAGGGATTTTTAACAAGTCACCTGTTTTAATTAATGGATACAAAAGGGGTCCCATGGCTGACCTCTGGATCAGCTCTTCAGAGCACAGTGCAGAAACAGCGATCCTGGGACCCTGTTCGTGCTGGGACTCCAGCCCTGGCATGTGCTGCAGCAAGTGCTCATGTACAAGTTCTCACTGGGGTCACATTAGTGCTCTGTGGTAGAGTCTAACAGTCTCACTTAATTTTATTATTATCATATTATTTTGTTTTGTTGAGACAGGGTCTCACTATGTAGTTCAGGCTGGCTTTGAACTCACCATGTAGCCCCAGCTGACCTCAAATTCCCAGCAATCCTCCTGCCTCGGCCTCCTGGGACCGGGATTACAGGAGTGCAGCACCACATCCGTTTTAATGGACCCATCGTAGATGAGGACAGAGGCTGAAAGAAGGGCGTGACTTTTTCGGGGTCACACACTTCTGTAGTATGGAGGCCAAGTCTGTCTCACCCATACTCAGAACAAACTTTCCAATATAAAAATAGTGGTAAAAATGGTAGGACGGGGAAGGTGGAGCACAAATTTCCTGCTATCTGTTAAAAGAAAATCCAGAAGAAGATACCATCCGTACAGGAATTCTGGTTTGAAATGAGGGCTCTTCTTTAAGCAGCAAAAGCTCAACTCACACTAGTTTAAGGGAAAGGAACCCGAGGGAATTTACTAGTTCATGTCTTTACTAGCTCGCATCTACAGGATCTCCCAGGCATAATGGATCCAGGCGCTCAGCACCACCAGATGTCCTCTCTGCGTCCCTTGGCTGTGCCGTGTCATCTTCATTCTCAGTGAGGCAGCAGCAGAACCCCATAGCTCCAGGCTTACGTTCTGCCGGTGCAGTGAACCCTGGGACTCTCCCAATGGACTCGGCTCTCATTGGCTCAGCATAAATCCTGAGTCCATTCCCGATCCAGCACGGTTGCCAGGCCCGGGAAGGGACTCATCACCAGGCTCAGTGTCCTGCTCACCTCGGAGCAGAGTCAGTTCTGTGCAAACCATGTGGCTAAGCATAAAGGAAAGAATACTGGGGTGCCGTGACCAGAAGAGGGGGCAGCAGCATGACAGCAATTGCAGCAGGTGGCAGCAAAAGCCCCCGTTTAAATCAGACAGGCTGTGTGCTCTGGGCCCAGTGCTATGGGTTCTCTGAGGCTTGGTTTCCCCAGGAGTAAAATGAAGCAAGTTAACTCCCACTGTTCAGGGACAACACTGCATGTGCCAGGGTGGAGGAGATGCCCAGTAAAAGCAGCTCCCTTTTCTGTCAGCCGGAGGACCCTGTCCACGAGGGAATGAGGTGGGAGATTGGGATGGGGGACCGAGATGGAGAGATGATTTTCTTTCCACACAAGGAAAACGTCCAAGCGTCCCGGAATCTCACTGTTCCAGCACTGTGGCCGGTCTACACTGGCACAGCCTTGACTCCCACTTGTTCACACGGAGTGTGTGTGAGTCGGGTAGTCACAAATTGGGACAAGCAGGAATGCTGGAGGCTCTGGATTTCGAGCACCGTGGCCCTGGTCCCATCTAGACTGCTGCTGGCACGGGGACCCTGTCCAGCCTCGACCTGGCTCCATCATGGGCACCTTCCGCTGCCTCAGCTCCTCACCAGCTGCAGGCTCAGTGTGGCTTCTGCTTTCTCCCCTGCAGGACTTCCTGAGTGACCCCCTACGCCACCTGTCCACTTACCTGTGTTTGTCTCTGGTCATGGCTGAGTTTGTGCTGTCCTGCCTGGTGGATCAGCCCCCCTTCTTCCAAAAAGACTCCCAGCAGGCTGTAAGTCCCCAGACCCCCCGCCCAGGGACTCCTTTGTCCCTGTGTCTGCTTCCCCATGTAGCCAAAGCAAGCTGAACTAGGACACAGGCCTTTCATTTTTTATTCACTCAGGCATTCAGCAACATGTGAATTTGCACAGCGATTCATTGCCACTGTTTGGCTTTCTGTTTAGGGCAAGGAAGAAAATCTTTTAGGCTTTGTGAGCCGTAGGACCAGCCTAGCTCGTCTCTGCCATCATGGTACAAAAGCTGCGAAAGGCGTTATGTACACAAGAGAGCAGGCCTGTGTTTTGATAAAACTTTATTTGTAGAAACAAGCAGTGGGCCGGGTTTGGCCAGGAGGCCATGGTTTGTTGCCCCTGTCCTATACTTCAGCAGGATGCTGAGGATTTGTGGTGAACGGCAGATATGGTCCCTGTGCTTATTAGTTCCCAGTCACATCGGGAAGCTGCTGTTAAGGAAGTCACATATTATGTAACTGTGTAGAAGCTGGACCACGGGTTTGTGCTTTGCAGAAATACAGGCTCCTTGAGAGTTTTCAGCAGGTAACAGTGAAGCAGTCTGTGAAATCAGGAGAGAATTCTCTGGGGGAAGATACTGACCTCGCTTGTCTTTAAAAATGCTCAAATGAGCCAAGCTTGGTGACACACCTGTAATACCAACATGGTGGGAGGCTCAGGCAGGAGGATTACAAGTCTGAGCCCAACTTGGGCAACTCAGAGAGACTCTGTCTCAAATACAAAACTTTTAAAAAGGGATGGGGATGTAGCTCAGTACAAAGGTCCTGGCTTCAATTGCCAGTACTGAAAACAACAATCAAAAAAAACAAAAACTCAAATATTCCAGTAATCTATTTAAAACCATAACAGGACTTTTTCCCTGTCAGAATGGCAAAAAACCCCAAAAACCCGACAACAAACTGTGATGGCAAAGATGTGGTGAAATGGGTACCCTCGTGCCTCGATGGTGAAGAGGGTAAATCCTGAGTTCCTTCCAGAGCAGCTGACAAAAAGCACAGTGCAGAGCCCTCTGCACAATGTCCACTCAGAGATGCAGCTGAGGACTCTCTTTCTCATGCACAGTCCTTGCTTTGAGAACGTCTGGGTCTCAGTGTAATAATAGTCGTTCTTGTGAGAAGCTCTTATTCTTACCTTGTGAACACAGTCAGTGGTCAGTCCAGGTGGGCCAGACCCTTCTTGCCTTGGCTGCCAGGAAGCCACCAAGCTCACTGGGCTCCTCTGGTCAGTGCACCCTGTGTTCCTGACCTTGGTCAGCTGCTCTCCACGGAGGCCAAGGTCTTCCTCTCCCTCCTTTGTCTTTTGCAGAATCCATGCCCCGAGGCTGGGGTCTCCTTCCCCTCCAGGGCTGCGTTTTGGTGGGCTTCTGGGTAAGCAGGTGCAGGGGAGGGCTGGGTGGGGCTGCTGCTCTCACTCCTCTCCACGCTTTGCCCCGTGTGTCCCCCACCGCACCCCAGGGCTGACATCCCAGCCCAGCCAGGGTCCCCACCACTCACTGGAGTGACGGCCAGACTTGAATCCTCCTTGTCAGGACCCCTGCTTTCCCCTCTGTAACATGGGGACAGAGATGACTCACCTTCATTAAATGGAAGTGCCTAGTGCTTGCCCATAGCAGGCACCCAATAAAACTATTTATTATTCAGTTCAGTCATTTCACCAACACTAGGTAAGCACCTACTATGTGCTAAGCACCAGGCGCAAAATGAAAAAGACAGAGTCTTTCTTGCCTGGAGGGTCCCAGGCTGATGGAGAAAACAGCAGCTTCTCTGGCACCAGCCCACACCAGGCACTACAAAGGTGCCCACCTACTGGCGCCCCCCCGCCGGCGCCCCTCTGTTGCCGCAGTCAGACTTCCGTATTATGGGGCCACAGATTGGAATCCTGGCCCCACCACTTCCTGGCTGTGTGACCTTGGGTGAGCTACTTAGCTCTCTGTGCCTCGGTCTCCACACCTGTGAAATGGGAGTAAGGACAGCATCTACCTGTGGGCTGTGAGGTCCAAGTGAGACAGAGATGGCGAGACTTGGAAAAGGGCCCGTACATAGTGTTCTGTCCAGTACCCGTTATGTAGACGAAGAACATGTGCTTCCGGATTTGTGGAGGTGGTGGGAAGAGAATAGAAGTTTGCTAAACAGTTCTACTTGGGGTCTTGCCCTCAGCTTCCTAAACTTTTCACTCTTTTTTTGCCACATTGGGCATCACCCCAACTCCAGGAATGTTTTTCTTTAATCCAACTCATTCTCTTACTTTAATAAACTTTTAAAAACAGGAATCTTTTTATCACTGCCCAAACTTGAAAAATCAATCAAATTGCTTGCCCTGGAAGAGAAGTTCAAAAATAATTTCAGAGAAAAACCAATGTTAATCATTTCCAGGCCAGGCCTGTGGCTTTCCCAAGTTGCTGTGAGTCAGAAAAGGGCACCTGGCAAGGCCTAGAGAGACAAAGGCCAGCGCCCAAAGACCCTCCTCCACCACACTGTTGGAGAGACAAGAGACTCAATAGGAAAACAGGGCTCCCACTGTGGAAGTCCTGGGCAGTTGTGATGGAATCTCCTTGGCTAGGGAGGTCAAACCAAGCCTGCCTGAGAAGCCATGTCTAAGCACAGATGTGAAGGAAGAGTAAGAAATGGCAGGTGAAGGGCAGCAGGAAAAGACCTTGGAGCAGAGTGGCATGCAAAGGTCCTGAGGCCAGCTGGCTGGAACCATGAATGAGGAGGCTGGGGCATTAAAAGGAAGGAGTTCAGGTTTCCTCCACAATGAGTTTTAGACCCCAGATTCCTGGCTCTTGGGAGGGGTAACTTCCCTGGCCATGCCAGTTGTCTCTTGCTGAAGTCACTTAATCTCTCCCCACCTGTTTTCCTCCTCATCTATAAAATGAGCCAATAACAAGCTACCAGATGCAAGCATCTCTATAAACTGAGTAGTGCCCTGCAGGTCTTAGGTGGGTGTAGGCTCTTTGCCTTCATTGACCCAGGAGTCAGCAGAGGTGCAGAGAGAAGTAAAGCGACTCCCCCAGGGTCACAGAGCTGCCAGCTGGGCCCCTGCCGGGGTGGATGACGAGAGGCGCTTATATGGGTGCTGTCTTTTACAGGCTACTCTGGAGGGGCTACAGGAAGCCACTGAGACCAAAAGACCTCTGGTCCCTTGAGCCAGAAAACTCCACAGAGGAACTCGTTTCCCAGCTGGAAAGGGAATGGATGAGGAACCGCGGTGTGGCCCAGGGGTGAGTGGGTGGCGAACCAGACCTCAAGCTGGTATGATTGGCCAAGCTCACCCATCGCATGGCTCTCAGTCCAGTCGTGATCCTGTCAGGCTGAGTATACAGCTCTCCCCAGGGTAGACATCCCAGCGGAGACTCCCAGTGGGGGCTCTTGGAAGGCCCCACAGGAAGCGGTCATGGCGGAATGGCAGGTGGGAGACAGAAGGGGGGTTAAGTCTGGGCTCAGAGCGCTAGGTGGTGGCTCATAGGTGCAGGCAACTGCTTGCTTCTTGTGCCATTGGTCGCCTGGGTCAGTTTTCTCACCTGCTCAATGGGGGTGGCATTGCCCAGCAGGTGCGAGGCTCTGGGTTCCATCCCCAACACTGCAGAGGAAAAGGGGGAGGTCACTGGGCCCTCACTCATAGCTCATGGAGTCATAAAAAGAGATGATTTACGGAAAATGGCAAATCCTCAAAATTGGCAGAAACACAAGCAAAGATTAGCTAGCCAGGAGATTCCAAGGTCACTGGAGTTGCTCACTCCACCTGGCCGTGCCGTGCCCTTGGTGGCCTCTCTGGGAACAAACTTGGCTCTAAAGGAAGAATTTCAGGGTCCCCTACAAATTCTAGGGCTTTGGTGGTTGCTATGGATGGCCGAATCCCACAAATGACAGAGACAGTCAGACAGACAGACAGACAGAAGACAGTAGGCTCATGTGATTAAGATGTGGCCTCAAGCAGAAAGGGGAAAGGCAGGGTTATACAAGCCATTTTCTGAGCTAACTGACTGCACCTGAGAAAAGTTTGGGTTTATTTCTGAAATATCTGAAGTATCTGGGGAAGAGAGAGGATCTCATCCAGAGAGGACAAAAGGCAAACCACCTCCCACCAAATCACCTTCCCAAGGTCTGTTGGGTCCACATGGTATTTTGCTATTGTTGATTGGATTGTTCGGTTTTGTAATGAGTTGCCTATTTTTATTAGTACACGTGTGCAGGACAAAATGCTTACATCCCTGGTGTGGCATTGGTCCGTGGACATCACACGCCTTCATCCTTTTTACGCTCGACCCCCTTAGCAATGTCACCTAACAAATCTGGAATCCTGGTCTCTCTAAAAGTAGGTCCGGCAGCCCACACCCCTCCCACTGCACAGCAGGCTCAGCAGGCAGAGACCTGAGACCAAATGCCAGTGCTTTTTATTTTTTTATTTATATTTTTTCAGTACAGGGGGTCAAACGCAGGGCCTTCAGACTAAGCTACAGTCCCTGCCGTGTTTTTGCTGAGTTGCCAGAGTTGGGCTCCAATTTGTGACCCTCCTGTCTCAGCCTCCCAGGGTGCTGGGATTACAGACGTGCCCACTCACTCCACCTGGCGCAGATCCTAGCTCTCTTCCCTCAGCTGTCTGCCCTTGGTACATTCGCCCCTCGGAACCTCAGTTCCCCATCTGTGAAATGCGGACACCCCCCCCCCACCCCCCCACCCCCGCTTGCAGGGCTCCCAGGAGGACTGCGCATGCCTGGCACACAGCAGGTGCTCGCTGTGGTGTGCGTTTGCACGAGCGAGCGCCCGAGCCCGCCTGGCTCCTTAGTGAGTCCTGGGCGGGGAGGGCCATCAGGGCCACGCCGCGGGCCCCTTTTGCTGAGGGACCCCCCCCCGCCCTTCACAGCTGCCGGCCGCCCACGGCTAAAGCAGGCGCCCGCCCTCCCTCTCCCCAGGTGCGCCACCGCGGAGTTAAAAGGCCCTAATCGCGGGAGCGGGAGCCGGGCGGCCCCGGAGCTGCAGGCCCTCGTGCCCCGGGGAGGGCGCCCGCGGGGCCCGCTGCTCAGGGCCCTGTGGAGCGTGTTCTGCGGCTCCTTCCTCCTGGGCACGCTCAGCCTCCTGGTCGCCGACGCCTTCCGGTTCGCGGTCCCCAAGCTTCTCAGGTAGGTCTGGCCTGGGCCTGGCTGAGCCGGGGGCCCCGGGCGCCGGCCCAGGCCAGCGCAGCGGCCTCCTCTGCCTCTGCGGTGCACGCGCCCAGGCCCCGAGGCCAGAGGGAGGGAAGAGACAGCGCCGGGGCAAGCTGCAGGGTCGCCTCCTGCGTGGTCGGCGAGGGCTGCACACGCGGCCCTGGGGTGAGGGGTTAGAGCCGCGGGCGCCCCCCAGCGGCGCTTTCCTTGGATGGGCTCCCCCGTGTGTGGCCGGCTGCTGGGCCGGCTGGAGGTGGTTGCATCCGCATGGCTCGTCCGTGATCGACGCAGTTCCCCTCCTCCAAAAGGCTGCGCAGCCTTGTTCACTAGGAAGGTTCCAGAAGACGGAACAAAAGCTGTGTTTTCTCCAGAGCCCCAGGCTGCAGCTGGCAGTCTCGCTGCCTCCGTGGTGGTGGGTCACAGCTGGTCACAGGACCCGCGGGATTCACGGGGTGGAGTGGCCAGGCGCGGTGGCACCTGCCTGCGATCCCAGCGCTCTGGGAGGCTGAGGCGGGAGGGTCCCAAATGCGAGCCCAGCCTGGGGAACTCAGTGACTTAGCAGATCCTGTCTCGATAAAAAAGGCCTAGGGAATACAGCTTAGGGCTCAGGGCTCAGGCCCTAGGTTCAGTTCCTAGTGCAGAAAAATAAAAACAAAGCAGGCTGGAGTGTTAGGCTGCCACAATAAAGTGCCACGGAAGAACGGGGGTGCGAAGAGCAGCACTTCATCTCCCTCCCGCCATCTGAGGCTGGAGTCCAGGAGCAAGGTGCGGTCAGCCCCTTCTCCCTGTGTCCTCGGCGTGGTCCTCTGCACGTGTGGACGCCCAGGGATCTCCGTCCAAGTGTCCTCCGGGGAGGACCCAGCCGCCGGCCCCTCTCCCATCACTGTTTCTGTGGGGACCCCGTTCGGCCTCACGGTGGGACAGAAGCCCACCTGGGGAGCAGGGGAGCCGCGGAGTCGCACCGAGAAGCAGTGGACGTGGCGGAGCCGACTGTGGGGCTGTGTCACTCATCCCAGGCCCGGGCCCTTCTCCCCCAAGCCTGTTCCTGGAGTTCATGGGCACCCCCCAGAGCCCCGCCTGGCAGGGCTCGCTGCTGGCCGTGCTGATGCTGCTCTCGGCCGGCCTGCAGACGCTGTTCGAACAGCAGCACATGTACCGGCTCAAGGCGCTGCAGATGCGACTGCGCACGGCCCTGGCGGGGCTGGTGTGCAGGAAGGTGAGCAGCGGCGCGGCGCGGCGGGAGGGGGCGCCCGGGCTGCGACGATTCCCACTCGGCCGGTGCCCTTTGCCCCCAGGGCTCCCTCCTGCCAGGTTCCGTGAGGCCCTGTGATGTGACCCCGGCGTGGCCACCCTGTGCCTACCCCATCCCCCAAGCACACCGGGCTCCTGTAGGTCACCATTCATTTCCTCCCCTCTTGGGACGCGCGCCAGGGCCTGCTGCTCACAAGCAGAGCTGAGGCTGGGCGGACAGAAGCTGCTGTCCTCCCTCCTCCCTCCTCCCTCCTCCCTCCCGCAGGTCCTGGTTCTGTCCCGCGGCGCCAAGAAAGCCGGCGCGGTGGGCGACGTGGTCAACCTGCTCTCCGTGGACGTGCAGCGGCTCAGTGAGAGCGTCCTCTACCTCAACGGGCTCTGGCTGCCGCTGCTCTGGATCACGGTTTGCTTCGTCTACCTGTGGCAGGTGTGTGGTGGAGGCGGGGGCCCTTCGAGTCCTGCATCTCCTCCCGGTCCCCCTCCTCCTCGCTCATGTGACCGGAAGCCTTGGAGAAGGGTGGTCTTTGCTTGCCCTTGAGCCAGGATACTGACCTTCCCTGGGACTCAAGTTTCCTCTCTCGTAAAATGGTGACATTGGTACCTCTCGGGTAGGTTCTCAGGGTACCCAGTAGGCAGATTAAACAACTTTGAAGTTATCGGTAATGCTGGGGCATCATTGTCGTTAACAAAAGCAGTAAAAAAGAAACCAATTTTTTTTTTTTTTGTACCGGGGATTGAACTCGGGTCCTTGCGCTTGCAAGGCAGGCACCGGAACCACTGAGCTAAATCCCTGGCCCCCCAAAAAACAATTGTAAGCGGGGGAGAAATTGCTACCTAGTGTTTGAAAAGCATGACGCAACCATCAGGAAAAAACCAAACTTTTCCAACTTCCTTCATTTTGCCCTGTCATATTAGTATTTTTACAAATTGAAATCACAGACTCTGTATCAGTACTGCCTGGGTTCAAATCCTGCTCTGGCTGGGAAACCTCTCATGTGTGGCATTTCTTCATCTCTAGGAAGAGATCACAAGTAGGAATCGTACCCTGGCCTAGGATTGCCAGGGTATAGATGGGCTCACACAGGCTGTGCGTCCTTAACCCACAGTGCTCAGGACCAGAAAGTGTTTCAGATTTGGGTCTTTTCTTGGTGTTAGAATATTTGCACATACATGATGAGATCTCTCAAAGATGGGACACAATCTAAACATGAAATTAATTTCTGTTCTCTCCATGCCTTATACACATGGTCTGAAGGTAATTGTATACAACATTTTTAGTGCACCAGTGTTTTGGTTGTGACCTGCCACATGAGGCCAGGTGTGGAATTTTCCCCTTGGGTCATGTTGGTGTTTAAAACATTTTAAGCCAGGCCAGCACTCGGGAGGCCGAGGCAGGAGGATTGCAAGTTTGTGCCTAGCCTAGGAAATTTAGTGAGACAGTGTGTCCAGATTTTTTAAAGGGCTGGGGATTTCAATCCCCGGTACTGAAGGAAGAGCGGGAGGGGGAGCGTCAGAGTCCAAGACGTCTGCCTGTAATATAGCTTGTGTATATCCACATACACACCCCATCCCTGGCGCCCCCAGCAGATAGCTCCTATATCAGAAGCCACCATGCAATCCTAGTTAAGGAGGGACAGCTATGGGTGTTGCTACAGATGGAGGACACCATTTTTGTTTGCTAGAGAGAGCTTTCTGCCTTGTCTCCTGGAGGTTTTTCCAGTCCCAGCGGTGGGCATTTGCCTTCTGGACACTTCTCCGTGGAGCCACTGGGTGGCGCCATTGCCATATAAATGAAACAAACTGGGTTCATTCCCAAGATGAGACGATAAATGTAATTAAAGGTGGAGGAGAGAAACTGAGGCCCGCAGAATAGAAATGGCCATATTCAACAGAATATCCAATTAAACTTGAATTTCACATAAACCAAACAATATCTTAGTCTAGCTCTCAAATACCATCTTACATAGGACATTAACAGACTTAAAACTTCTTATCTGAAATTCACATTTGTATGGTTATCTGCTAAAGCTGGCAAATCTCCTAAGGGCTGAAATGAAGACTAGACTAATAATCGCATTGGATGACAGGAACAACTATTCCCACTTTGCACACAGCAACTGCAGCTTACAAAGCGTGGGCGAGTTACCCAAGGCCGCACTAGCCGGTGTCAGAGCTAGAGTGAAACGGGTCCATATCCAAAGGTCGCAGTGCCACCCTGAGGTCAGGAGTGGCCCTCACCCCGGCCGTCTACACGCAGGACCCCGCCTCGGAGCCCTGAGCCACCCGTCTTCAGCAGCCAGCGTCTCTGGCCCCCCGAGTCCTGTCCTTGGTGACCTCAGCTGCCTTCCTCAGGCCCTGATGTCCCCCTGCCTTAGGACCCTCATCTGACCAAGACCCCAGGGCCATCTTACCTCCTTTGTCCCCAGCTCCTGGGGCCTTCTGCCCTCACCGCCGTCGCTGTCTTCCTGGGCCTTCTTCCTCTGAATTTCTTCATCTCCAAGAAGAGGAGCCACCATCAGGTTTGGCATTTGGGGACAGGAACAGGCCAGGCAGAAGGGAGGAGCCTGCAGGGCCTGCATTGGTGGCAGACCCCAGGAGCGGAAAGGCCTGGGGGCTGGCGGTGTCCTTGTCCTTGTTCTGTGACTGCTCATCACCAGCCCCTGGGCTCCGGCCCTACCCAGGGTGTGACCCTCTGACCTGGATCTGGTGGCCACCCCTCCCTGCCTGGCCGACTCCCGGCCTCTGTGCCACCCCTACATGCGGGCTCATCTCACTCGCCAGTCACAGGGGACGTGTGGCAGCCAGACAGACCTGCCACCTCTTCCCAGACAGGGCCAGAGACCTCCAGCGCGGTGGCCTGGCCCTGCGACCTCTGACCCCCTCCTGCCTGTTACTTCCCCTCTGTCCCCCAGCTGCCCCGCCTCTGGCTTTGCTGCCCCTGTCGGAACCACCCCCACGCACAGGCTCGCGGCTCCTTGCCCTGCGCTGTTTTTTATTCCCTTGTAACCCTGTCCCTGGGCAACCGGCAGGCGTCACGGTCCGTCCTTACTGGAGTGGGTGCTCCAGCTCCGGGGGTCCCTGAGGCTAACTGGGCACCCGACTAGCGGCGCATAGAAGGTGGTCCTGGGAGGGAGAGAGACGAGGGAGCGGAGCAGGGGAGGCCCCTCCCTGCCCGGGTACCTGGGCTCTCAGCAACTGGGTGGCCAAGGTCGCCTCCACCCAGCCGCTCTGCTCTGGTGCGGCCTGAGCCCCGAGCCTGCCCGCCCGACTCCACCCGCACCCCGCCGGCACACTGCCTCTGCCCTCCGCTGCCCCCACCCACCCTCTATCATCCGCTCTCCGCCGCGCTCTCCCTGCAGCTCAGGCGGCACCTGCACCTCCAGGAGGCCTCCCCGTGGGCCTCGGGGCTCCCTCGGGTGGCTCCTCATCCAGCGGGGCGGGCGCCCAGTGCGGGCCGGCGCGGGAGGAGCCGGGCAGGCACCGAGGACGCTCTCGCCCCTGCCTCCCTGGTCCCAGGAGGGGCAGATGAGGCGGAAGGACTCCCGCGCGCGCCTCACCAGCGCCGTCCTGCGGGCCATGAGGACCGTCAAGTCCCAGGGCTGGGAGGCCGCCTTCCTGGACAGGGTCCTGCGCATCCGCGGCCGGGAGCTGGGCGCCTTGAGGACCTCCAGCCTCCTCTTCTCCGTGTCCCTGGTGTCCTTCCAGGTGTCCACGTCTCTGGTGCGGACCCTGTGGTCCCCCCGCAGAGGACTGGCCGAAGGAGGGTGCTGGGGTGGGCGCCGGTGCCCACGCCGACGGGGTCCCTGGCTCGCCAGGCTGCCGGGCGAGCGCCGCGGCCCCCTGGTCACCCGTGTGCCTCTCCAGGCGGCGCTGGTCGTGTTTGCCGTCCACACCCTGGTGGCTGAGGAGAACGCGATGGATGCGGAGAAAGCCTTCGTGACGCTCGCGGTGCTGGGGATCCTCAACAAGGCCCAGGCTTTCCTGCCCTTCTGCGCCCACTGCCTCGTCCAGGTGCGGGCGCCGATGCGCTGGGCCTGGATTCCGTGCCCTGAGGAGAGGCGGAGGGAGGCGCGGCCCGGAGCCGTGGCCCAGGGTGCAGAGGGCGGCCTGGGCCTCACAACGCTTCCTCCAGGCTCGCAGAGACTCGGCGTGTAAGAAGAACTCACCCCGAGTCCGTTCTTCTTCTCTCGTGGTACTGGGGCTGGAAGCCAGTGGCGCTGTGCCAACGAGCTCTTTTCATTTCATTGTGAGATAGAGTCTTGCTAAGTAGCCGTAGCCCAGGCTGGCCTCAAATTTGTGATCCGCCTGCCTCAGTCTCCCAAGTAGCTGGGATTCACAGACGTTCGCCGCCACACCCAGCCCAGTTCCCTTTGTTGGACAGAGCCCCTTTATTTCTCTGCCTTTAGTCATGAGTCCTTTCCCATTGTGCAACCCCGGGCGTGCTGAAAATGAGGAGCGACGCGTAACTAAGCCCCCTCTATTTTACTTTATTTATTTTTTAAGCCCCCTCTATTATAATGGTTCCCTTTTGAGTCTTCAAAATGGGTTTGGCAGGGATCTGAGCTGGCGCCCCCAGCTGGACAAAGTGTGAAATTACTCCACGTTGTGGTTTGAGGAGGACAATTCGAAAACTCCCTGTTCTCTTCCCAGATTTTGTCTGCAGTACTGGCTGCTTGGTTTCTCTCACTTGGAGCTGGAGGCGGGAGAGGCCCCAGCACCATGACGGTCGCAGCCTCACGAGCACGTCCTCCAAGAGCTGGAACACTGTCCCCATGCTTTGCAAACACACAGGGCTTAGTGGGCAGGAGCTCGAGCACACATCTCGAGGGCTGAGCGCTCCGCTCTTCTGTGCTGACCGGGGCTCTGGCTTCCCCAGGCCCGGGTGTCCTTTGACCGCTTGGCCGCCTTCCTGTACCTGGAGGAAGTTGACCCTGGCGCCGTGGACTCGAGTCCCTCCAGAGGCTGTGAGTGCTGAGTGCAGCAGAGGGTCTGTGGGAGGCTGGTGTGGAGGAACATGAGGAGACCCGGCCTCCTCGCTGGGGACCGCAGGACTGCTGGGCATGGGGTGGCAGGTGCAGATCCTGCCGCTGGCATTGTCACCGGAAATAGGCATTGTGGGCTGCTTTTCTGTAGGTTGCTCAGTGATTGCTCCCAGGTCTCCTGCAGGCGGCATTCTGAGTGCCCAGCAATGGGCACTCTAACCAGTCCTTGCCCTCACCCAGAAACCCCAGGGAGAGAGGCCCAGGTGTCTTTTGTGAAGGTGGAGAGAAGATCAGAGTTACAGGTGCCACCGGGAGGTGATTCGCTGCGTGCTGGTCAGCAGGGCCTCCCAGCTCTGCTCCACCTTCCCTTCCACCTGTAGGTTAGCAGCATCCACTGCTGCTGTGGGAGGGTGACCTGTTGCTGGGCCATCTGGTCAACCTGCTTACCTAGAAACACCTGGGGAGTGGTTAAAAATCCCAGCCCATGGGGATGGATGAGCCAGGTCCACATTCTGGCCCCAGCGCTGACCTTGGCGAGTTACTAACCCCTCGGAGCCTCAGGGCCTCCATCTGTGGGGATCATAACACCTGCTCCCTGTGCTTGCTGTCAAGGTCGGCTGTGTGTTTAACTAAATGATACCCTTGGCATAGAGCCCAGTGCAAAGTCAGCTATAGATGTGTGTTCTTAGTATAATTATTAGGGAGAAAACTGGAAATAGCACAGAGCCCTCTAAGAAACCCAAAATTGGCATTTTTGAGATGACTCAAAGCTCTGACCCAGTTTCCTCTGATTCATTCAGCCTAATCAATGAGATTCGGGAGTTCAGACCCAGAAACAGGGCTCAGATCTGTGCCCACCCCTCCCTCTGGGGCCCTGGGCAGCAACTCCTCCCCTCCTGGCCTCAGATTCCCAACTGCCAGCATCCTCATAGCAACACAAGAGACAGCAAGCACCTGGCTTTTAGGAGCTGCTCAGTAAATAGCTTGGGTCCATGACAACTGTGCCATTAGCTCTGCTGGAGTTAATATGGGTCCTCAACCAGAGACCCAAGTGTGATCTTAGCCATGAGTTTGACACACCTGGTCACTTGTTTGGGGTCAGAGCCTCCGTCTCCCAAAGCTGTGCTTGCAACAGTGAGATGAATGCTGACACCCACTGCTCGTGCTAAGTGGATGCTTACCACATGGTACGTAGTTCAGTGTGCTCTGTGTAAAAATAAGCCCAGCCACGCGTGGTTGTACACACCTGTGATCCCAGCTACTCAGGAGGCTGAGCCAGGAGGGTCACAATTCCAAGCCTGGGCAACTTAGAATCTCCAAATAAAAATGGCTGGGGATGTAGCTCAGTGGTTTCAATAAAACTTTATAAAACTGGGATGTATGATGCCATGGGCTCAATCCTTAATAGAGGGAAGGGAAAGGAAAGAAAGGAGAGAAGCAAGGAAGAGCACCCCACGTTCTCTGAGCAGCACTGTGAGTGAGGTGCTTCCAGGACTTGCTCATTTTACAGATGGGTAAGTGGAGGGCAAGGGAGAGAGGGATTCCTGCACCTCAGATTGTAGATGAGACAAATCCCCTAGAGTACAGTAGCTAGATTCATGAATGAAAATATAGAATGCCTAGTTACATTTGAATTTCAGATAAAGAGAATTTGTTTTTTAGTATATGTATGTCGCGTGAAATATTTGGGGGCATATTTATACCAAAAGGAGTAAACATTTCTCTCTTTATCTGAATTTCAAATTTAGCTGGGCACCCTGCTGAATCCACCCCTCAGATTCTGATTTAATTGATTTGGGCTGAGCCATAGAAAGCTTTGTTTTAGAACATCTTCCCGGGGGATTCCAAATGTGTGTTCAGAGTGGAGAACTCCTAATCTCGATCCTCCCTCATCACAGGGATGAAATCTGAGACCCAGAGATGAGGAGAAGCCGTCCACCTCTCTCCACACTGCTTATCCCAGTGAGATAAACAACGCCCCCTCCATTGGCCAAAGCCTTGGATTGGGTGTAAATTATATCACAAGCTCACCAAGTTTTTCTGTAAAGGACCTGAGCGTACATACTTTAGACTCGTGGCCCTACGTCTTTGTCATGACCATTCAACTCTGCCATTGTAGTGTGAAAGTAGCCATTTTTAAAAACTGATAAAAATATGGCAAATGTTTAAATTTTTTTTCTTTTTTTTGGTACCAGGGATCAAGCTTGGGACCTTGCGCTTACGAGGGAGGCGCCGGAACCACTGAGCTAAATCCCCGGCCCAAATGTTTAAATTTTAAAAATGTATTATAGTAGGGCTGCGCCTGTCTCTAAAGCACCAGGTCCTGAGTTCAATCCTTGGTAACAGAAAAAAAAAAATTATAATAACACATTGCCATGAATCCCCGTTGCTTCAAACACACTTATCTCATCGTTCTTGCCACTTTCTGAAGCAGTTGTAAAGTCTTCTGAGTGTCTTTAGTGGCTGTCTCGATGTTCTGAATCAATTCAAAATGTTTACCTTTCATGGCCATTTTTTTTTTTTTTTTTTTTTTTTTTGGTACTGGGGATCAAACTCGGGTCCTTGCGCTTGCACAACAGGCAGCGAAACCACTGAACTAAATCCCACCCCTTCATGGCCGTTTTGACTTTGGAAAGAGCCGGAAGTCCCATGTACCAGATCCAGTGGATGAGGACACACCATAATGTTTCCATTTGGCAGACGTTGCTGTAAATGTTTGATCAGTGGGTGATCAAAATAAGTGAGCGTTTAAATAAAATATTTATTACAAGTAACAGGCATATCGCCATTGATCACCCTCAATATTCTCAAAATACTCAACTTTGAACACACATCCCATTATTCCTGGTGATGTCTTTTACTGTAATGTTTTTTAAAAAATTTAAACATTCATTGTATTTTTCAACCACTCCCTTATATAAACGAATAGATACAATTGCGGGGGTTTTTTTGTTTTTGTTTTTTTGTACTGGGGATTGAACTCGGGATCTTGCACTTCCAAGGCAGGCAGTGGAACCACTGAGCTAATTCCCTGGCCCACGATTTTGTTTCAATAAAACTTTATTTGTAAAAATAGGCAGGATTTGGTCCCCTGGCTGTGGTTTGCCTTCCCCTGAATTATGTGGCCACGGGACACAATGGAATCCCTGCAAGTTCACCCACAACTGGCGAACAGTAGGCAGGTGGCTCCCTGGGAGGTTTCAGCTACAGCCTACTACTGGGCTTGGTGGGTAGGTGCCAGGGGGTCCCCGGATAGGCCAGACAGGAGCCGCCCAGTGACCCGCCTTCTGTGCCCTGTAGCCCCTGGGAAGGACTGCATTGCCATACGGGATGGCACCTTTGCATGGTCCCAGGAGAGCCCTCCCTGCCTGCACAGGTAGGAATGACCCCCCCACCTCCCAGGAGCTACCTCCACCTTTCTAAGAAAGTGATGTGTGGAGCACCTGGCACTTCCTGACTGTGAGACAGGGCAGGTCTCCAGCCCCATGTTGGGGGTTTCCTAGCAGAATTAGGAAAGCAGGCATCTTCATGGATAGGGCAGCAGGGCATCTGAGCCTCCCTAGTGAGGGGGAGATGCCTCCCTGCTCCCCAGTTGGCCGAGGGGACAGCATATGAGGCTGGACGTGGGTCATAGTCTTTAAGACTTTAGCTTTGACCTTGAGCGGGGTAGAAATGCAGAAAGGCTTCAGCAGGGCAGGGTGGTGATCTGATTTAGGTCTTAACAGGTCCCTGGGGCTGCAGGGTGGAGGGTGGACTACAGGAGATGGACAGGAGCAGAGGCAGAACAGCATGAACCATCTTCACAGGTGTGTGTGTGTGTGTGTATGCACTTGTGCACAGTGGGTGCATGTACATGCATATGTGAGAGGACTGTACAGATATATGTATCCAAGCCTGTATACATGTGTGCACACAGCTGTGTGGATTGTGTGCATGTATGTGAGCAGGTGCACTTGTGTGTGGTAGCTGCATGTGGATGCTTCGTAAGTGTGCACACCTGTGGTATGTGGCTACAAGTATGCTTATATGAGTGCCACCTGTACCTGTGTCCTTGTGTGAGTGTGCATGCATGTGTGGAGTTTGCATGTGTGTGTGCACACCTGTATAAAGTGTGTGTGCATGTGAGTGGACAAGGATGGGGAAGCGTGGAGGAGTGGCCAGCTGGACGGGCTGGCCGTGTCCAGGGCTCATCTGTCCTGCACAGACAGATGGACCCTGACCAGGGCTGCATCTCTCTCCTGGGTTGCTAGGATCAACCTCACTGTGCCCCAGGGCTGTTTGCTGGCTATTGTGGGCCCAGTAGGGACAGGGAAATCCTCCCTGCTCTCCGCCCTCCTCGGGGAGCTGTCAAAGCTAGAAGGGTCCGTGAGCATCCAGGTGAGGCTGCCCTCCCCCCTGCTAAGAGGTCCCCATCCCGGAAGCCCCTTCCTCCTTCCTCCCATGGCCCTCTTCACAGCTAAGACCCTTCCATCTCCTCTCTCCTAGCCCAGCCCCTCTACTCCAGAATCATCCCCACCTCTGTCTTCAAAAGTGAGTTGTGTTTCAGGGTCCGGTGGCTTACGTGCCTCAGGAGGCCTGGGTCCAGAACACCTCAGTGGTGGAGAACGTGTGCTTCCGGCAGGAGCTGGACCTATCCTGGCTGGAGAGGGTGCTGGAGGCCTGTGCCCTGGGGCCAGATGTGGACAGCTTTCCTGCGGGCATTCACACCCTAATTGGGGAGCAGGTGAACACTTCAGGCTTTCTTGGGATGAGGAGGCATTGCAGCTAGGGGCTGTTTGCTTCCCTGACCTGTGGACAGTGACAGAGCAGGTCAGGGAAGTAGGAGAGAAGGTCCCAGCTCAGGGTCAGACGTAGCAACACCCAATAGTTGTTAATTAATAATGATTGAAAATAGAATCAGAGAGAAAAGCAGAGAGTTGTAACCAGGATTAGTAATGAAATATTTTCCAACAGCTGCCAGTAAGAAGACTGTTATGGCTTATGTGTCGATGTCCCCACAAAGCCCAATGCAGTCATAGGTGGGTTTTTTCAGAGATGACTGGATCTAGGGTGTGTGATGCTGGGATTAAGGAATTTCCACCCTTGGGTGTGGGTGGTAGCCTGGAAGTTATAAAAGGGAGAGGCAGGTAGGCTGCTGCTTCAGCTGCTGCTGCTTCTGCTGCCTTTGCTGCCGTCATTGCTTGCTTCTTCCTGCCCTACCTTGCCATGGCCTGTTTTTCCTTCCTGATGTCCCTGTGTCACGCCACTCTGGTTTGGAGCCAGCTGACTATGGATTAAAACCTCTACAAACTGTGAGCCAAAATAAACCTTTCCTCCTTTAACTTTGGGCATTAGATATTTTGTCTCAGCAGTGAGAAAACCGAGACAAAGACCTAGATTCCTGCCCTGCTCTGTCCTGCTGTGTGATGTTGGTCAGATTTCTTCTCTTCACTGGGGCTCAGCAAAGGGTCGGGGCAGAGATGTACAATAAACAGGATATAGGCATCCAGAGCTGTGGACTGGCCAGGGACCGGCAAATGGTGTCCCATGTGTCAAATATGGCCCACTGCCTGCTTTTATAAATAAAGCTTTATTGAGACACAAGTCACATTCATTTTCCTATGGTCCATGGCTAGTTTTTTGGTTAAAAGTTAGAGCTGAGCAGTTGTGACAGAGACTGTGTCCCCAAAGCTCAAGACTGTTACTCTTTGGCCTTTCCCAAAAAAGCCTTACTGACCCCTGGATTAGGGAATTGTCAGTGAGAAAATGGGAGTTCAAGTTAAGGGAGGGGTGAGGTTTCCTGGGAGGAGAGGAGAGGCCTGGGGAGGGTCTTGGGGAGCCTGCTAAGGGCTGCAGTGCAGAGGACAAGCCGGACAAGTGACCAAGGGTGGTGGGGCGGGGCATCATGGAGGCCAGGGAAGAGTGTTCCAGAAGGGAAAAGGTGCCGGCTGCCTCCACGTCTGCCCAGCTGTGTCACACCCCGGCCAAATGCCCGGTCCCCCAGAACCACCTCCTCCTGAAGGCTCTGACCCCCTCCTTGTGTGTCTGATTCTCTTCCTCTGACATCCACAGCGCCTGTTGTGTCTTCCCCAGGAGCAGGCCTGGAATGTCCCCTTGCCCCACCACATCGCTGGAGTAGCTTCCTCGATGGCTCCTTGCTCCTGACCCCAACCTCCTTCACCCAATCCCACTGCTTGGCCAGAGGGAGCCAAAATCCTGACCTCCTTGGCCAGATGCCCTGCCATCCCGTCTGGCCCTACTTCTCTCTCTCCACATGTCCCTTCATGCTCCCCCTTTCCTGCTTCTGTTCAGCCACAGGGATCCCTGCAGTGTTCCCTGATACCCAGAGTACATCCTCACCCCAGGCCCTTTGCACATACTTTCCCCTCACTTCTGTCACCTTCAGACTGCCCTGGCTGCCTTACCCCGCCCTGCAGTGACTCTGCTCCGGTCAGTTCACTCTGTACCCACCTGCTTACTGGTCCTCATGGCACTTGACACCATCCTGTGTACCATCTGCTTTACCTGTTTGGGTCATGGATTGTCTGTCCCCTTGCCCTACCCTCATTAGAATGAGAGACAGAAGAGCAAGGACTTGGTTCCGATCATTGCTGTATCCTTAGAGCCTAGGACCTTGCTGGATGCAGAGTAGCCATGCAATGAGAATTAGCTGAATAAATGAATGAATGAATGAAAATAAGGACTGAAAAGGCAATACCACCAGATTAGGCAACAGGGAAACGAGTGATGTCCTCCATGAATGCTGTGTCTGTGGAGGAACCAGACTGAGCAGGATGGGGAAGTGAACAGGAGGAAAGTGGACACCTCGGGTGTGGACCACTCCTCCAGGAAGCTTGGCTGGAAGGGAATGGCGAGGCTGCAGGGCATGCTGGATGGGAGTGGGTGCCCTTCACTAGCTGTGGCCCAGGGGACAGGCACACTGAGATCTGGTGTGTCCGACCTGCCTGGCCCAGTCATTTCCGTGTCACCCAGCAGATGTGATGTAGACCCACCCCCTTGCCCCTCTCTGTGACCACAGGGCATGAGCCTCTCTGGGGGCCAGAAGCAGCGGCTGAGCCTGGCCCGGGCTGTGTACAGAAAGGCTGCCGTGTACCTACTGGATGATCCCCTCGCAGCCCTGGATGCGCACGTTGGCCAGCATGTCTTCAACCAGGTCATCGGGCCCAGTGGGCTGCTCCAAGGAACAGTGAGTCTGGGAATGTTTGTCAGAGGCCACAGGACAAGGGAAGAGGAAGCCCCTAGAAACCAGTCTTTACCCACGCTATCTCAGTACTCTCCCCTTCAGTCCAGTTTTCCCCTTTGTATTTGTCAGCTTTTACTGCGATACTACCACATAACAAACAGTCCCCAAATCTCTGTGGCTTGCAACACCCCTTATTTGTTTAAGAGTCTGAGGTTTAACTACTTAGGATTTTTTCAATTTTAGGATATGCAAAAGTGATAGGCATTTAGCAGAAACCATGCAATTTGCATTTTGACCTTTTCCTGGGCTATTAATACTCTCATGGTGCTGAGCAGTGGCAGCCAGTGAACCCCACAGTTACAAAGGGGAAGCCCAGGGCTCCACAGTGTGCTGTGTGGCTGAGCTAGGACCTTCATTAAGTTTTGTGTAATAAATGCACTCTTGACCTATGATGTCATTTTTTTTTTTTTTTTTGGTACTGGAGATCGAACTCGGGTCCTTGCGCTTGTGAGGCAGGCAATGGAACCACTGAGCTAAATCCCCGGCCCTGACCTATGATGTCTCTAACTTACCCTTAATCCCCACACGGTGACCCCAAAGTCAGTTGAGAGCACGTCAACTGCCCAGCTCTGCCTCAGGTCACGGGCGAGGCTGAGGTGAACACCACCTCCTCCTGCTTGGAGATATGGCTCGAATGAGACCCTCGATCTCTCTCTGTGGACATTGCTGCTTTCCAGAGGGGGCAGGAGCACAAGACAGGCATCTCTGCCACCCTGGGCCCGGGGACGAAGCCCTCCCTACCCTTGGCTGCGGAAGACCAGCCAAGCACATGTGCGTGACTTCTGCCCCTCTCTACGCAGACACGGATCCTCGTGACCCACGCACTGCACGTCCTGCCCCAGGCTGATCGCATCGCGGTGCTGGCAGACGGCTGCATCACAGAGGTGGGCTCCTACCAGGAACTGCTCCGCAGGAAGGGGGCGCTGGTGGCACTTCTGGAGGGAGCCAGACAGTCCGGCGGTGGAGGAGACAGAGGTACTGGCTGGGCTTTGCTGATTCTGTATCTGGTCCTGCTGCCTGGGAGAAGGCTCCACAGTCCCCTGGTGTGACTGGAGTACCCTCAGCACCCTCCTGTGGGCCGGGCTGGAAGCACCTGTGAGCCAGGGGCTGTGCGAGGTGATGCTGTAACATCCTACAGCTGAGCAGAGAGAAGGGATCACACGCCCAAGCTCCCCCGTGGGCACTTAGGTGCGTCCAGCCCGAGTCTATGCTCGACGCTGCTGCACAGACCAAGCCCGAAGGTCGTTGGTGCCTAGAAAGCTGCAGCATGTTGGCTGGGGCTCCTGCTAACCCTGAGGACACCAAGGCTGCTGGGCCAGCCGTGCCAGTGTACCCACAGTGAGCAACAAGTACAGACTGCGGCAGCTCATTGAACCAGTGCAGTGCCTCTGGGGCTTGGTGCTCTCATTGTCCCCACTTCACAGATGAGCAGACTGAGGTCCACATGGCTGATAAGTGGCAGCTCTGGGATGTGAACCCAAGCGACTGGACTCTAGAGTATGTGCTACATCATGACAAAAGCAAGGACTCGCACCAAGGTCTCCCCAGTTTTGGTGCTACCTCTCCTGGAATCATCTGCTCAGCACCGGCCCATCCTTGTCAAAGCCCTAAGTGTCAATTCAGTGTTCCAGTCCTGGGGCTTGAAAACGGAGCACACCTATTTGTGCTGGTCAGCTTTTGCTGTGACAATGCTGCATAACATACAACCCCCAAATCTCAGTGCCTTAAAACAGCAGTTGCTTTTTGTTCATGGATTTGTGCTTAACATGTTCATGATGGGGCCACAGTTCCTACGTCTCGCTGCTGGGCAGCTTGAACCACAGGTGGTACATGCATGACTGCACCACTTCTACCACCAGTGGCACGAGTCACCCCATGGGACAGTCATGATGAACCACCAATGGTTCATGCCAGCGGGAGCAGCTCTGCTGGCCCAGACTAGGGAGTGGATGGGCCTTCCTGGGAGACATGGCACCTGAGGGTGGAAGTTGGCCAGGAAAGAGCATTCCAGGCATAGGGTTGAGCAAGGATGTCTGGGGAGCCAGGGGAAATTGGCTTTGTGTAATGTCCACTGCTTTTTTCTAAACCCCAAGTGTGTAGCAGGTGCTGAATTATATTTGCTAAGTGGATAAGTCAGTCAATGGGGAACGAATGAATAAGGTTCCCAAGTGAACCCAGGGGAAGGGTTGGGAGGTTGGAAAGGCAGCAGGAGCCAGATCAGGGACACGGATGCTCTCATAAAGTGATGGTCGAAGCCAGCATCTGGGTCCTGTGGAGTGGCTGCCACTGTGTGATAGGACTCCCTTGGCCTTGCAGAAGCACAACCTGCAGCCAGCACCAGTGACCCTGGAGGCAGAAGGCCTGACCACAGATCAGAGAGGTGAGTTCGCTGCAGTGCTGGGCACAGGCTGAGATTTCTGTGGGTCCTACTTGTGACCACTGCGTCTCAGGTGGTGGAGTGTGGTGTGGTGCAGACTATCACAGGTGGAGCACCTGCTGGATATTCCACGTGCTTGGTGTGGCATGATTCACCAAGAGATATTTGCCAGTCTTTTGGCCAAAATGATAAAGTCTCCAGAGGGCCAGTTCACAATGTGAACAACTGGCCCTCCAACATGGTGGGCGCCCTACTGTGCACTGAGGACGGTTTGTCAGAGTTGCCTTGCTGCTGCAGTAAGGCAGGTGGGCTCCAAGAAAGATCCTCACCATGACCACAACAGCCTCATCCTTTATGCCTTGACAGCCAGGCCAGCCAGAGGACTCAAGTCCACACCCAAGGCATCACTGGGTGCTGGGCAGGACACACAGGCGGAGAGGGGGCCACCAGGAGGAGGTCCACTGTCCCCTGTTCTCTCAGCCTCCGGGGCACAGCTAAACTCACAGTGGGGCTATCTGTCGCAGCAGAACCTACAGCTGGCCTGCCTTATGGAGGGCAACCAAGTGAAGCAGAGGGCCAGACACTTGGAGCTGAAGTGCCAGGGGTCAGGGGACATGCAGGGGGACCGTGGGGGCTTCAGTCCTTGGGGATATCGAGGCTGGGTATAGCTCCTCCCTTCCCATCCCAGTGAGCCACCTTGAGAGCTCCCCTGAGTGCAACACAGGCACTGTTGCACAAGGATCCTGAGTGAGAGCAGATAGAGATGGATGGATGGATGTGTGTATATGGGAAGATGGACAGGGAATAGGAGGAAGGATGGATAGATGCACTGAGAGGTGATTCGTGATAGTATAAACAGATTGATAAATGATAAGTTGGTAGATAATGGATAGGTGATGCATCAAAATGGTAGATATCACCATCTTATAAGTGGAGAAACTGAGGCATGGGGTAGTTAAGTCAGCCCACGCATCCACAGATGAAAGGAAGATTCAAGGAGTCTTAATCAGTGCAAAACCGACCTGCTAGGTTGGGCCAACAAACATGAGGGTAAACATTAGGGACAGAACAATTGCAGCAACGTTTAGGCCAGACTGAGAACAATTCCAATTTTGGACAAACATTTGTTCCATGAAATGTCACAGGAGGAACAGGCTTGCTTGGCTCTGGGGTGCTGGATGGCGCTGAGCTGGCTGCCACATGGGGAGAAGGGCAGCTGACCCCCAGCGGGACTCAGTGTGTTAGCTGAGGGAGGGGAGGGGAGGAGAGGAGAGAACCTTAGGGCTCAGCGGTCCCCAGGGCCTGAGGGCTGGGTCACCCTCCACGGGAAAGATACTGACTTGTTCTCACCTCTAACTTACAGGTCCATAAAGCCAACCCCTACAAGGGGCGGTGGCATCTCAGAAGCCCAGGCGGCAGCTGCTCTAGATGGTCCCAGGGGGACAGGACAGCCAGGTGGAGAGGGCAGTGTGCAGTACGGCCGGGTAACCATCAGCCGCTCCTTCCCTTCCTGCTGTTGCCCCCAGGCCCGAGTCCGCCTCCTACCAGATCTAGCCCTGGCGCAGCGGGAGGGGGGGGGGCGGACCTAACCTTTACTGAGCACCTACTGTGTGCCAAGTAAGATCCTAGACCTTCGTGTCTTTTAACCCTTATAACCATCCTTAAAAATAGATGGTGCTGGGCTGGGGATTTAGCTCTGGTTCCAGCGTTTGCCTCAAAAGCGCAAGGTCCCAAGTACAATCCCCTGTACCAAAAAAAGATGGTGCTGGCTCTATTTTGGAGATGAAGAAACTGAGTTATGGGAGAGTTAAGAGTCTTGTATGTATGACAAACTTGGTAACCAAGTCTAGGTCGGTCCAAATCTGAAGCTTGTGTTGTTTTTATTCTTCCATACTGCTTTGTCCATCCATCCATCTATCCACCCACCCACCCATCCACCTATCCACCCTGTCTTCCATCTTTATGTGCATTCACCCCTTTACCCATCCACCATCCCACCAACCATCCACCTACCTGTGAAATCATTTATTCAGCCATCCTCTCATCTGTATGCCTATCTGTTCCCCATCTATCTGAACACTCATCCATCCACCTACCCCTCGCTGACGCATGTATCATCTGTCCTCCCATCTGTTCACCCACTCATCCATCTACCCTGCCACCTATATACCTGCTCATTTATCCACCCATCCGTCCATCCACTCATTCACCCACTCATGCAAACATCCGCCTGCCCGTTCGTCCATTCATCCACCCAGCATTCACACTCCATGCCAGGCAAAGTCTGCCCTGTTGCAAGTTTCATGCTAGTGAAGGGGGCAGACAGTAAATGCTTGGACCAGTGATGGCGAACCTTTTAGAGCTTTGAGTGATCCAAACAGTCTGCTGGGTCACCCAGGCCATAGGTTTGCCACCACTGACTTAGACTGACTTCTGATCATGATGAGAAGAAATGAAGGGTGATGAAATGCAGCCCAGCTGAGGGTCAGGGCAGCCTGGATGGGATGCTGTCAGGAGCAATGTTTGTGGTGTCCTGAAGGATGTGAAGGAACTCGCCAGGCAGTGTGGGAGGAGGCATGCTCGAGGCAGAGGGAACAGCGGATGCAGAGGTGGAGGTGGGAGAGCTCGGAAAGGCTCTGTGACGCTGGCACATGCTAAGTGGGGGCACTTTGAGTGAGAGAGCCACAGGCAGGTAGCAGCAACGAAGCACAATTAGTTGATGTTCTCAGAAGTCCGCTCTGGCCACAGCCGGGCAGAGTGCTCCAGAGTGGAAGGACCGGTACCTTATACGAGCTGCTGCTCCTCTCTGTGCCTCAGTGCCCTCATCTGGGGAATGAAAGTGATTGTAAGCATAGAGATGTGTGCCTGTCTCATAGTAGGTGCTCAAGAAAGTGCTCTGAATCCAGAAGTCACCCCGTCTGTCACCATTAAGACTTCTGATGACCCACTGGGGACACGCTGGCAGAAGGGGGCAGCAAGGCTGGGCAGGGCCTGGAGGGGAGACGGTGCTCCTGGTAGGAGGGACTGAGAGAGGATGCACGAGGTTCCCTTGGCCTGTTTTGGGGGCACCTCAGCTGGCCTTGCCCTGACTTACCCCTCTCCTTGGCCCTGACCTCCACCTGTCCCGCAGGTGAAGGCTGCCATGTACCTGAGCTACCTGCAAGCCGTGGGCATCCCCCTCTGCACCTACACGCTCTTCCTCTTCCTGTGCCAGCAAGTGGCCTCCTTCTGCCGGGGCTACTGGCTGAGCCTGTGGGCGGATGACCCAGTTGTGGACGGGCAGCAGATGCAGACGGCCTTGCGTGGTTGGGTCTTTGGGCTCCTCGGCTGTCTCCAAGGTACCTGGTACCCATGAGCTCATCTCCTGCCTCCACTGAGGGGTGCTCTGGGCTCCCGTGCTCTCCCCGCACTGGCTCAACTTGTCCTCCCTGAGCGTCTGTGGGAAATACCCTGGGCCCAAGCACAGACCTGTGCTCTTAAGATGAGGCTGGAGGGAGCCGATGCTTGGGGAAGAGGACATTGCTCTCCTGGAATCTGCCACAGATCTCCCAGCCGCTCCCACTTGCAGGGGCAGCTCCAGGCCACCTGCTGTGGACCCTTACTGCCCCGCTTCTGGATTCTTGACAGAACAAAGGTCCCTCCTAAAAGAGATCCCTGCCACTGTCACCTACCCCCTATCTTCCTGTCCTCTCCTTTTAAAAGGTGAACTATGTACTGAAAGAACAGTAGGTTCACATTCAGGTGTGAAACATAATGCAGACCTCCCTCCCGCATTCCGCCCATCACTTGGCAAAGTGAGTACCACGTCACACACAGGAATTGGCAGTGGCCAGGGCATTGGTCTTCTCGGGATTTGCCTAGTTTTACTCATGTGTATTTCTGAGTAATTACTCACCAGAGACAGTCCTGTCTTCTGCTTCTGAGCCTCAGTGCTCACATTGGCCATTTCTGCTGCCTACACTTTCAGTAAGATTTGTGATCTCCTGAATTCCTATTTAGAACCTTTTTATGGACTCAGATTCTTCTCTGTGTTGGTCATTCACGTTTTGGATCATCTTATTTAGCTGTGGTAGCTTTTTTTTTGGTACTGGGGATTGAACTCAGGACCTTATACTCGCAAGGCAGGTGGTGGCACCACTGAGCTAAATCCCTGGTCCTCTGGTAGCTTTTTTATTAGTGTCTTCTGTAGGCTTTTTGATTGTACTCTTTGGCTCCGTATCTGCTTACTTGTATCTTCTTGCCAAGTGTCTCACTGATTTCTTTTGTCATCTCCTCTGTCATCGTTTCAAATTCTTCGGTTGTGTGGCTTTTGGTCTTCTCCCGTTTGATGTTCCCTGGATCAGCTTTGGGGGAGTTGCGAGTTTCGGAGTCATTTTTTTGCCTTCTCATATTTTTATTTTTTGTTGTTTGTTTTTTGTGTTCAAGCTTGTGGGTTGATTAGGGTAGCAAGCTTTGTGGCTAGTATGGACACCTCTTTAGTTAATGTCTACTTTCAGCAGTGCCCTCTGGGTGTGGCTAACTATTTGCTGTTGCCATGGTGCCAGGATCCAATCACCTCCATGAGCTTGGGCGGACAGGTTTTAGTGTATTTGGCCCAGTATCCAGTTCTCCAGGTATGGGCCACAGTATGGTTAGTGACCCCCAAGGCAATCCAGACATTGGCATATAGAGAAAACCAATTAATAGCAACACCTGTGTCACCTTGGCTATAGTAATAAAATCAGTAACAGTGTCAGAGACAAACTAGATGTTAACAAACTCCAAGAACCAATAATGTACTGCCCTTAACCAGAGAAAAGAGAACTATAATTATAGTATGAACATTAAGACAAACCAAATATTAACCTACTGTTGACCTGCAGTAAATATCTACTAAACTTTACTTCCACTGACAATAAAAGTGTTAAGCGGTATTAAGTTAACTAGCTATCTAGAGATCCATAAAGCTTAGTAGTAAAGGTGAGGGGGTGGAAAAAGCAAAATTTGAAAAATTAATGGGATGTGGGATGGAGGAGAGAAGAGCGAGACAGAGTGTCCTACTGGAGAATAAATGGACGTTAGAAAGCAATCACAGAAAAGAACGAGCCAGAGTACAGGTGCAAGCACCCAGTGATAAATGGAAACGTACTGCATACCTAAACGGGCCGGTAGAACAATGAACAAGAAGAAAACCAGCAAAATACAGGAAAATGAAAGACAAAAAGGCAGAGAGAGAGAGTTGAAAGGGGAAAAGAAAACTAAGGAGAAAACAATACCAAAAAAAGATTGTAAAAAAGTCCAACCCCCCAAAACCAATGAAGAGACTAATAATTAAAAATAGAAAAAAATTTAAATATGAAGTTGAAGAACAAATTCCTCTGTGGTTTTGAATGAGTGGCCTCTTCCCAGGTTCTGCAGTCTTGGAATCTAGTCAGTCACGATTTTCTCTGCCCAGCACTGGGGCCTGTGGGCATCTGAGATGCCCTTCCCATGCCACAGGCCCCTCTGTCCATTCACCCCAGATGGTGGTTGCCATTCAGGCCGGGGAGTGTCCTTGCTCACACTAGCAAGGGGGAAAGTGGTCAGCTCTCGGTCTCTGCTGGATGTTGGCTGCAGGGCTGGGGTTCAAGCGTACTGGTGGACTTAAAATTGAGGGGTCTGGTTGCTCCCTACAGAGGCCAGTGCCCGTGTCCTCCTCGGCTTGAGCTTGCTCTTCTCAGGGAGGTCTATGTCTGGCCACTCCCTTTCCGTGGGGGTCCCCTGTGGTTCTCTCATGGTCACTCTGGGCAGGTAACACTGGAGTCCGGAAGCTGCTGGCCAGGTTCATACTCTCTCCCTGGGTCTGCTGGGCCTCCGGGTTTACCTTCTCTCCCCAGGCATCTGCTGCCTCAGCCTGGAGTTGGTGGATGGTTGCATTGTGCACAGGGTGGTGTCGCCTGCTGGGTTTAGCCTCAGCTTTAAAAGATGGTTTTAGTCTGGTCTCCTGGGTGACCGTGGCCACATCGCCAGACTGGTCTGAGCCCATGTCCTCCACCCCTGGAAAAGGGGCACATGAGGCCTGAACACAAGGACCCCTCTAGTGGTAATAACTGGGAAACCTGCTCCCCAGGGCTGGCTGGATGGTAGTGCCTTTGGGCCCGTGCCTACTTAGTCCAGAGGGATCAGACAGGGAGCTGTCCACATTAGTCCAGCCCTGGGATAACTCAGGTTCTCATTTGCATGGGGCAGTCCCCTCTCATTACATGGCACATGACAGTGTATCAGTTTCGTAGGGCTGCTGTAAAACAAACTGCCACCAGTGTGGTAGCGTAGAACACCAGAAACATACCCTCTCACAGTTCCGAGGCCATAAATCTAGTACAAGGTGTGAGCAGGGCTGGTTCCATTGGGAAGGCCACAGGAGAAAACCCTCACTGCTTTCTCCTGGCTTCTGGTGGCTGCCAGCATCCTTGACTAGTAGATGCAGCCCCTCATCTCTCCCTGTGTGGTCATGGAATCTTCTGAGTCTCTGTCTGTCTCACCTGTTCTCGCAAGGACATCAAAAATTGGATTTCAAATCCACTTAAAGATTAGAATCTTTAATCATGTCTCCAAAAACTATTGCTAAGTAAGTTCATATTCTGAGGTTCTGGATGGACATGAATTTTGGGGACATTATTGAAACCTCTAAAAAAGTGGATCCATCGGGGGCGGGGGGGGCAGATAATCAGGGTGGCCAGATGATAAGATGACCACCCCAGGGCTGAGGGAGTCCTGCTCAAGTCCTGCAAGGAGAGTCTCAGGGGCCTCTGGGTCCACACTCTGACTTCCTCTCCTTCCTCCCCAGCCATTGGACTCTTTGCCTCCATGGCCGCAGTGTTCCTGGGCGGGGTCCAGGCGTCCAGCCTGCTCTTCCAGAGGCTCCTGCGGGATGTGGCTCGGTCTCCCATTGGCTTCTTTGAGCGGACACCTGTTGGAAACCTGCTAAACCACTTCTCCAAGGAAATGGATACGGTGGACGTGGAAATCCCGGACAAGCTCCAGGCCCTGCTGACTTACACCTTTGGACTCCTGGAGGTCTGCCTGGCAGTGATGACAGCCACACCCCTGGCCATCGTGGCCATCCTGCCACTGATGCTCCTTTACGCTGGGTTTCAGGTACAGGGATGTCAGAGAGGCTCCGGGGCCAGCTGAGGCCACCTCCGGCAGTCCCAGCTCTGGGGTCAGGACTGTGTGAGGGGGCTGCCCAGCTGAGCACATGGGTGGCACCTAGCGGCAGCACCCGAAGTAGTCTGTTCTTCTTGATGTCTGGCCTTGCTCCTGCTGCTGCAGGTTCCTCTTTTCCACTTATCTGGATACCAGGGAGTGATTGCAGTGGCTCAGAGACTATTCTGTTCAGCTCAGATCCTTTCCATTGCCAGGGCCAGAGACCAACTTCAAAACAACAGAATTGAATGCTTGCATTCTAGGGTGCAGTGGGCCCGGCTGGCACCAGGGCACTTACTGTCTCACATTATACTCAGTGGATCTCAGAATGGGACTCCAGTCTGGCAACATCAGGCTCACCTGGGGAGAGGGAGGGATGTGGGTTCTTAGGTCCCTCCCAGACCTACTGACTCAGATGCTATCAGAGTGGGGCCAACTGCCTGGCTGCTAACGGCAGTATTCTGTTGTGTGCTAGTGTTCAAGAACCACTGCTTAATGCTTCTTTATTTTGTGCATACACTTTTTTTTTTGTGCTGGGGATCGAACTCAGGACCTTGTGCTTGTGAGGCAGGCGGTGTAACCATTGAGCTGAATCCCTGGCCCCTGCACATGCTCTTTTCAGGGGTGGGTCAGTGACCTTTAGCAGCCCTGTGCTCACATCATCCTTCATTAGCAACCCAACAAAAAGAACACTCTTCTCCGAGACAGGTGTGGAGGTGAATGCCTGTAACCGCAGCACTTTGGAAGGCTGAAGCAGGAAGATCTCAAGTTTGAGCCCAGCCCTGGCAACTTAATGACTTAGTGAGACCTGTCTCAAAAAATAAAAAGGGATGGGCATAGAGTTCAGTGTGAAGACCCTGGGTTCAATGCCCAGTACTGAAAAATAAAACATACTCTTCTCTAGCTCAGCATTCATAGGTCAGTCCCAGGGAAGATTCTGATTGGCTCTTTCTGGATCATGTGCCCATTCCTGAAACTAACTGACTCATTGAATAGTATATCCTGATTGGCTAAACAGGGAGGGCTGTGTGACACCTATATGATCAGGTCCCATGATTGACAGTGCCACCTTCCCAGCACCTCTCACCTATAGATCAGACATAGAGCAAAAGAAAACACTGTCGTCACACAAATCCCTGGCCACCACTGTCCTCCGAAGTGACCCTAGGTCTTCTCTAAGTCCTCTTGCCTTGGGGCAGGGCTGTTTCTCTGCCACTTACTGTGGAGCTCAGAGAGCTGCTTTAGCCCTCAAGCCTTGGGTGCTCTCACCTGTCAGCCATGAATGAGATACTGTTTGTAAGGATCCTGGCGCTATAGCTTTCTGCCTGTCTGCCAGCTGCAGTCAGCTGTGTCAGCCAATTAACAGGTACTGTGCATCAGCGGAGCATGTAACTCTTGAGCAGTGAACTGTCTCCATTGCTCATTATGGGTTTGATCCCACAAAGACCTATCAAAGACCTGACCTTTGGTGTCAGAGTTTGCTAGTGAGAGATTTCGACTTGGTTGATAGTTCCTTGACTCTGGCTTTTAAATAAATACCACACCAAGATGATTTCTACAGAATCCTGAATCTGGAATGTAGGGCATTGGAGGTTTTCAGAGCTCCCCAGGTGATTTTTTAAAAGAATCATAGAACTCTGATTCTGGAAGGAAACTGGAGCTCCGAGAAGGCAAGCAATTGGCCCCAGGTCACACAGCAAGCTGGTAACTGAGTCTGAACCTCCTGGACTTGGGGCTCCCTGTGCTTCTGAAAGTTACCTCTCTGTCTCTGGCTTCTCCCTTCACTCTCCCACCCATCTCCTTCAGAGCCTGTACGTGGCCACTTTGTGCCAGCTGAGACGCATAGAGTCAGCCAGCTACTCATCCGTGTGCTCCCATGTGGCCGAGATGTTCCAGGGCAGCGCAGTGGTCAGGGCATTCCAAGCCCAGGACCATTTTGTGGCTCAGAGTGACGCTCTCATGGACATGAACCAGAGGGTCAGTTTCCCACGCCTGGTGGCTGACAGGTAGGCAGAGAAACCCCTGTGATCCACCTGTGTCCTCAGAGTGGTCCCCAAGATCTTACTGTGTGGTCAGAGAGGTCAGGTGGCCCCTTCAAGGTCAAAAGAAGGTTGGGGAATGAGGAGGAGCCTGGGTCCCATGGGCCGTCTCGGGACTGCACTGCGAGCACATGGACCCCAGCCGGAGAGGTCCCCACCAGCAGTGGCAGGAGGTGTGGGAAGGAGACTCCATGGCCGGGCAACTGGTCCATGCCTTGTTGACAAAGTAGCTGCTTAAGCTCTTGAGTACAGACAGATGCAGGTTCTAATCCCAGCTTGGCTGCTTAGGAGCTGGCTGATCCTGGCAAGTTGTCTGACCTCTCCAAGCCTGAGCATCATCTGGACTGGGCTTGTGCTCAGAATGGCTATGAGGACTACATACATACTCATGGGTAATATTTGTAATGTGGCTACTACATGCCGGGCACTGTTCTGATATATATATATATATATATATATATATATATATATATATATATATATGTAAAATTTTATTCCTTTTTCACAAAAACCTTAAGATCTTTAAAGACAAAATCTTTGAGTGATTCATCTTTTTCTTTCCAGTGTTCCTAGTACTGGGATAACAGGCCTGTGCTACCACACCTAGATACCTTTGTTTTTTTCTTAAATTTATATATGTAAAATTTTATTTTTACTGTACTAGGGATTGAACCCAGGGCCTTTGCACTGAGCTACATCCCCAGCTCTTCATTTTGAGACAGGGTCTCACTATGTGGGCCAGGCTGGCCTCACACTTGGTGACCCTCTTGCTTCAGCCTCCTGAGTAGCTGGGATTATGGTGTGTGCCACCACTCCCGGCAAAGCAGGGAGTTTTAACTGTTTTATTCACAGCCTCATCTCCAGGACCTCCACCATGCCTGGCACGCAAGTGTCCAGTCCAGTATGTATCCCATAAGTGAATGGATGTTGAGTGGATGGCAGAGCAGGGACTCAACAAGAGGGTCCATATTCACTCATCATCCACTAGATCCCTCGAGCACCTGCTATGTGCTGGGACCTGTACAGGCCCTAGAGATAATGCCAGGAGTGAGTCAGACAAGACCTGCCAAGCTCTGATCTCCCAATGGAGCTTAAACAGTCGATGACCGATTACATTTTAGTCATAAGAGATGGCTGCCACAGAGGATGTCACCAGCACTGTGTTAGAGGAGAGGTAACAATGGAGGTGACCTGCAATGAAGATGATGTTGGCCACATGAAGGAGGACACATTCAGGCCAGTGGACAGCAAGGAGATGTGCCCGGGCATATCCCAGGGACATGACAGCTCTCCTGAGCTCTGCCAGGCAAGCAGGACAGTGTCACCTGCCCCTACTCACCTAGCTCAGGCAGGACGACACCACTGCTGGGTGCCCGTGGGCACAGAGCCACTGTGAAGGCAGTCCTTATGCGCAGAGCAGTGGGTCCCGGCAGATGAGGGAACCTGCAGACCCTGTGCCCTGCTTCCCTTTGCAGGTGGCTCGCTGTCAACCTGGAGCTCCTGGGGAATGGCCTGGTGTTCGTGGCTGCCATGTGTGCTGTACTGAGCAAGGCCCACCTCAGTGCTGGCCTTGTGGGGTTCTCTGTCTCAGCCGCCCTGCAGGTAGGTACCCCAGAAGAGGGCCTGGAGTGTGTGTGTCTGCTCAGGCAGAAGGCACCAGGAGGGGCCCTGGAGGATGTGGCTGGGGAGGACCTCATATGGAAGGTGGGGCTGGAGAAGGGAGCCTGTAGTAGTCCCTGGGGATGGGGGCAGCCAGGCTGGGCAGGGCTGGAGCCTGAGGTGGCTCCGTGTGTGACAGGAAGTCAGCACAGGCCCAGCCTCACAGGTCTGGATCCCTCTGGATGTCCTTGAGAGGGCGGGCTAGGCACCCTCCTGGCCCTGTCTCCCCTCCTGTATCACCGTGCTCTGGACGGACTGGCATCTGAGACTCCTTCCTGCTCTGCACATTCTGGTTCTACTGAAGGAAGGGAGGGGTCCTATTGGCTGAGGCCAAATCCCATCCCTCTGGCCCAGGAGGCCTAGGTCCTCCAGCCACCCTGTTCCTAAGTTCCATCCTGATTCCCTGGGTCCTGTCTCCCAGGCCCTGCCTGGGGATGGGGACTCGCAGATCCAAGGTGAGGCAAGCCTGTGATGTCTTATTGCACAGGTGACCCAGACCCTGCAGTGGGTGGTTCGAAGCTGGACAGACCTGGAGAACAGCATGCTGTCGGTGGAGCGAGTACAGGACTACGCTCACACGCCCAAGGAGGTGATGGATGGGACATGGGGAAGGAAGTGGACCCAGGTCCATGCTGCAGGGGCTTTGGAGTCTGCACCCTTTTCTGTCCCACTAAGCCCACCAACTGTCAGCTGCCTCATAGGGTGGCAGGGATGGCTAACAGCATCCAATCCTGCTTCCTAGTTTGAGCAAGGCACAGCACTACTGGTCTCAGTGAAAGGGGGCATGGAGAAACGGGCCAGGTTATGCAGCAGCCACGGGAGATACCATCCCTGCAACATAATTGCAACAGTGTGGGATCAGATACATTGTAGGAATAGAATAGCAACACTGCAGCAACACGACTAGCCCGCTATAGCTTTACAGCAACTGTGATAGCAACAGTACAGTCACAGAAAGGAGCATAGCAGTATACTGGGTTTTTTCATTAGTACATGTTTACAGTATATAATACATTCCTCCTGGGAAGTTGGTACATGTACATAACACATCTTATTTTTTTTCATCCCCTCTCATCTTTCGGTTCCCTTCCCTTTTGCAAGAGATCTGTCTTCCTATTTCTACTTACTTTTTATTTATATTTTGAGTTTCTCACATAGAGAAACCATGTGACATTTAAGCTTATGTGTCTGATTTCTTTCACTTAACTAATACAATATTATGGTCTCAAGATGCATCCATTTTCCTACAGATGACTCGTTTGTCCTTTATGGCAGAGCAGTACTCCATTGTGTACAAATACATGTATGCTGACAGAGACTGGGTTTACTGGGAGGATCAGCAGCGATCCCACAGTGGACTTAGTCTGGCACACTATGGACACTCAGTACGTGTCCACTGCTCTTCTGGTCCCCATTTCAAAGATGAAGCCAAGGCTCAAGGGGGTGGAATGACCTCTTCTAGGTCCAGGAGTAGCACAGGGCGGCGCTGGCCTCCACACCACAGTCCCTTCCCCTTTGCAGAGAGTAGTTTTTGACAATGAACTGCGCCTGACGCTAGTAAGAGATAAAAGGTGTGAGGCCGGGAACTGTTTTTAACATTGCTGTACTCTCTGCTTTTGGGGTTTACTTTCTACAACAGCCCTCTAAAATGTCAGAAAAGATCCCCACTTTGCAGAAGAGATCGAGGCGCAAAGAGCTAGGCAGGCTCCTCTGATCCAAGTGCCCTCCTGCTCCAGGCGCCCTGGACGCTGCCCGCCTGTGCAGCCCGGCCGCCCTGGCCTCGAGGCGGACAGATTGAGTTCCGGGACTTCGGGCTGCGACACTGGCCAGAGCTGCCGCTGGCTGTGCGGGGCGTGTCCTTCCAGGTGCACGCAGGAGAGAAGGTTCGAGGGTCTCTCGGGGTGTGCTGGGGCGGCACCTCGCAATCCCCCGCTTGCGGAGCCAGCCCTTCTGCCCTGAGCTCCCCACCCTCTACTCTGCTGCCCTCCCCACCTACCGGGCGTCCCCACGTGGGGAGGCTTCTGTCTGACCCCCTTCCTCTGACCTCCGCTGAACACCCAGCCTGTGCGGGGCAGCACTAAGCATCCTGCCCGCCCCACCGGGTTGCACCGTGTGGGAATATCAGTGCTAACCTCGGCGTGGCTGTGACGTTTGAGTTAGCACCCAGGAAGCGGTAGACAGAGCAAGGGCTCCAGGACTGTGGCTGATGGGCTGCTTCATCATCACTGCCCTGCTTATCTCACAGCCGCCCCAGGAGGAGGCAGGCACCAGCGTTACCCCGTTTCACAGACGCCTGGGGCCCCTCCATGGGACCCTCTTCCCTCCCCACCTGCACACAGCTCCCACCTCTGCCCGCCTTCCTCTCCCCACTCCTTGCATCCCGCCGCCTCCACCTCAGTCTCCGGGATCTGCACTTGAGCCCGTCATTCCCCCGGCTCGGGCTTTTACCAGTTCCTCGCTTCCCTTGGGGTAAACTGAGTTCCTGATCTTGACATTCAGAGCCTTTCCCTCCTCCTCCTCCATTGCTCTGCCAGGGCTCAGCCAAATTTGGGGAGCTGCTGGCTCTAGGCCAGGTGGGCACGGGATGCTGTACGCTCAGGGGGGTGTAGTCTCCCCCTTGCTGAACTCCTACTCATCCACTTGTATTCCCCTCCTCCGGGAACTTTCTCCCCATCCCAGGCAGCACGAGCAGCACCCTCTCACCGAGTCCTGAGCTTGTGCAGAACCCCATGTTTACTCTGAGAGTGAGCACTCGGTGTCTATTCCTCGTGCTGAAAAGCATGCCTGTCATGCGGGGAGGGGTGGAGTGGGGACTCGCGGGTCCGTTTATGTGTTAACCAAGTGGCGCTGACTCCCCACCTGTGTCTGTGTCTGAGGGCCCCACAGTAGCAACAGCGAGAGGGTGAGGGACAGGCAGAAGGACAGACAGGTGGGCGGAAGGAAGGGTGGGACCCCCAGGAGCATGGATCGGGGGTGGTGGGTAGGGTGAGAGGGGATGAGCAGCAGGAGGAAAGGTGAGGGAGGACGGAAGGGTGCGGAGGGAAGCAGGCGCGGGCTCGGGAGGAAGGGGGCTGCTGGCGAGGGCAGGAAGCGTGGAGGGAAGAGACGGGCACTTAGCACGAGGAGCAGATGCACAGACCTCCCAGATGGATGCCCGCGACCCCTGGGCCGTGGCTTGCCTTCCTCGGGTCACCCCAGGTCCTGCCCTCCTGTCCCTGGCAGGTTGGCATTGTGGGCAGGACAGGGGCTGGGAAGTCTTCCCTGGCCGGGGGCCTGCTGCGGCTCCAGGAGGCAGCCGAGGGCGGCGTCTGGATCGACGGGGTCCCTATCACCCAGGTGGGGCTGCACATGCTGCGGTCCAGGATCACCATCATCCCGCAGGTGAGGTCTGGAGCGGCCGGGCAGAGCCGGGAGGGTGGCAGGTCCTGCTCTGATCCCCCACCTCTCCCCAGGACCCCGTGCTCATCCCCGGCTCTCTGCGGATGAACCTGGACCTGCTGCAGGAGCACTCAGATGACGCCATCTGGGCGGCCTTGGAGACAGTGCAGCTCAAGGCCTTCGTGGCCAGCCTGCCCGGGCAGCTGCAGCACGAGTGTGCGGAGCACGGCGAGAACCTGAGGTGTGGGCCCATCCTGGGGAGGCAGGCAGGGGGAGGACAGCCGGGACCCTCAGGACCGACATCCACTCCCCCAGAGCATTGGCTGACCCTTCTGTTAATAACTCCTTGATGCTCCAGCCCTTATCTGCAATTCCCAACCCCAGCGCACTCTCTGAATACCTAGGTTTGTTTTTTTTGCTAAATTAGCTTTCAAAATTTGATGGCAGAACTCAACCTTCACTGACATAGGTCTGCTTATCATCTCTATCTTGTTCAGGGTTTCATTTTGCTACAAAAATATTGTGCTGGATGTTGGACACTGACCTCACTCTCCCTGGGCTGGATATACCCTTCATAAAAAAAAGTTTTAAGTGTGGTAAAATACACAGAGCATCACACTTGGCATCCTGCTCCCCTTTAAATACGGTGTTTAGTCAAGACTGGGACATGGCATTGCACCTCCAGGCGGTTCACATATCCAGCAGTGGATCCACCAGAGTATCCTGCCCAGTGACGACGTAGCCATTGAGGTTTGCCTAAGTCTGCTGGGTGAGGGTGACACGCTTGTTAAGTGATGCAGGACTGTATGTTCACACTGTCGTGTGACAGATCTCCAGGACTCTTCTCTTGCAAAACTGAAACTTTGGCCGGGGATTTAGCTCAGTCGTTCCGCTGCCTGACTCAAAAGTGCAAGGTCCCAAGTTCGATCCCCAGTACCAACCCCCCCCCCCAACAAAAAACAAAAAAAAACCCCAAGTAAAAAAAACTGAAACTCTGTATCCACTAAGCACATGCTGGGCAAGTGCTCCACCGCTGCGCTCCATCCCAAGCCCTGCCCACTGACACCACCTGCCCATTCCCCTCTCCCAGCCCACCGCCACCCTTCCTGTCTCTCAGGATCCCAGGAGCTTTATACGAGTGAAGTAAGATGGTGTATCTTGCACCTGGCTTATTTTACGTAGCAAAATGTCCTTCAGGTTCTTCCATGCTGTAGCACAGGTCAGGATTTCCTTCCTTCCTTGAGGCTGAACATTACTGCATCGTATGGAGAGGACACAGTTTAGCCATCTGGCAGTAGACCCGTGGGTGGCTGCTCCCTTTCGGCCACCATGAATAAGGCTGCCGTGAACACGGGTGGACAGGTGTATGGCTTGTGAGAAGCTATATGTTCTGAATTCGTAAACCCACCTGACCCTAGGGTGGCAAGGCGGGGACCGTGGACCTCAGGGCTTCCGCATCAGACAGGCCACGTGGCTGAGGGGTGGGGCTCAGACTGGCTCAAACCCAGCCCCCCCCCGCTTGGCGTTGCGGATCCATGGCCGTTACCTGATCACCTGGGCCTTGGTTTGCTCGTCTGTAAGACAGGGCCAACAGTACCTACCCAGGTGAGGAGGAAGTGAACTCATATCTGTGACCCAGCGAAACCCTGCCTGGCACAGACGAACGGCAAGTGTTCCTCTGACTGCCCCAAGCCGCCACCTCACCGCTTCTATTGCACCGGCTTGGAAGCCGAGCCCCAGCTTGCTGACCCTGCATGGCCCAAGCAGGCTCTGGGTCTCTGAAGAGAACTCACGCCACGGAAGAATGGTTTGCTGTGAGAGAAGCAGGTGGGAGAGGAAACAGTCCCAGCCCCCCACCCCAGAGGCAGCGTTCTCACTGGCCAGGACCGTGGTCCTCGACGTGCCATCTGTAAGAAGCTGTCGAATGCCAAGGGCTTCCTGTGTGTCAGGGCTTAGCTCACCTTCGAGCCTCAGTGCGGAAGGAGCCATCAGCAGCATAGACTCTGGAGTCGGAGGTCCTGGGTTCGAATTCCACCTCCCTCACTGTGACCTGTGACAAGCCACTTAGCCCAGCCCTTCTCCCTTCCGCCTCATACAAAAGGACAGAACAGTCTCCGCTTCGGTGGATGCCATCTACATAAGCGCTAGGAATGTGTCTGCCACATGAGCCCAGAACAGAGGAAACGAATAGCTTTACGCGTGGGGAGCCTGAGGCATGAAGGGTCCGGATCCTTCTCTGAAGTCAGCCTGCTCGAAGAGGGTGGGACGGGGATTCCAAGGGCGCTGTGGACCTCAGACCTTGGGTGTGGGGATGCACAGGAGCCCCCGCTTCTGCAGCTGTCCCAGGGACCGGTGCATAGGCCTGCCCTGTAAATCATGACCTGCAGACACACATCCGGCCTCACTTCCCCTTCCTTCACAGTGTGGGCCAGAAGCAGCTCCTCTGCCTGGCACGGGCCCTTCTCCGGAACACCCAGATCCTCATCCTGGATGAAGCCATGGCCGCAGTGGACCCGGGGACGGAGCTCCAGATGCAGGCAGCCCTCGGGCACTGGTTCGCCCGGTGCACCGTGCTGCTCATCGCCCACCGCCTGCGCTCCGTGATGGGCTGCGGCAGGTAAGGGCTAACCTCCGCCGTGCAGCGGGGGGTGGGTGGGCGTGTGTGTGCAGTCCCTGTCTTCAGGCCCTCACATGGACCACGAGGTACCCACCCACTGTGCAGGTGGCAAGACCGAGGCCCCAAGGGGGAAGGGATGGGCCCAGGACACATTCTTCCAACGTGCTCTTGGGGCCAGGGAGCTGCGTGGAGGGCTAGGCCTCAGGAGAGCAAAGCTTGAAGCAGAGGGGGGTTCTCAGAGCCCTGAGCCTGGCCCGATGGGCAGAGCTGTCCTGTCCCCTCTCCCCCACAGGGTGCTGGTCATGGACAACGGGCAGGTGGTGGAGAGTGGCAGCCCAGCCCAGCTGCTGGGCCAGCAGGGACTGTTTTACAGGCTGGCCCAGGAGTCGGGCCTAGTCTGAGCTGGGTCTCTCCACTGTCCCCGGCTGGGTCAGCTACAGATCCTGCTGTGCCTGGAGAAGCCAGTGACCCAGGCTCTTCGTGGTCCCAGGTAGTGTCCTGGTCTCTGAGAGGAAAATAGCAAAGAAAGCGTCTGAGTATCACCAATGTAAGGCCCAGGATACGGCCAACCCCAGGCTGACCTGGGCAAGGCCCGTGCTGCCCCGTCCACCCTGGAGCCAGCGTCAACAGTGGCTCTCAGTCCTGGTGGCTTACAGGTCTCACGTGGCTGACAGTACTATGCCCCGGATGCATTAAATCGGAATTCATGGGGCTGGGGCAATGGCGCGTGTACTTTTTCCAAATTAACCTTGAGCTAATCATAGATTCATATGCAGTTTTATGAAACTGGTGGGGTGGGGCATGCCTGTAATCTCAGTTCCTTGGGAGGCTGAGACAGGAGGACTAGCTAGGGCAACTTAGTGAGACTCTAGGATTTACAAGGGGCTGAGGGTGCAGCTTGGAGGTAGAGTACTTGGCTTGCAGCACGTGGCCCTGGGTTCAATCCCCGGTACCACAAAACCAAGCCAAACCAGAGATCTCTGGTGCCCTCGACCCTGTTTCTCCCAGTGATGACATAGTGTAAAACTCTAGGGCAAGATCACAAGCAGGACACAGACATTAATAAAACCACCCATCTTCAACACAAGGACTCAAGTTCGCTCCCCGGTACCAAAAAACAAACCCCACCCATCTTGTTCAGCTTGGCTCGTGTGCTTATTTGCATGCACAAGGATTTAGTTCTAAGTGTTTGGCCATGGAGGTTTGTGCACACACAGCCCTCTGCCACCCCCACAACCTCAGATTGGGTCTCTGTCATGGCACTTTTTTTTTCTGGTACCAGGAATCGAACTCAGAACTTTGCATTTGCCAGGCAGGGCCCGGTGCCGCCAAGCTGCATCCTGGCCCATCTTTGTATAGAGGTTTAAGCTTCTCCTAGGTCTCCAGCATGCAGCCAGGACTGAGGAAGGCCGCCCGGTGCCTGCTGCTGCCCCTCTGCCCCTGTAGAGGAGCTCCCGGGAGCCTCTTATCTGGTGTGGACACAAGCCAGGTGCCTTCACCCCTCACAGAGAAGGGGCTCTCTGGGCAAAGCAGGTATGTGCATGGATTCAGTCCCCAACACAAGAGAGGCGGGTGGCAGGACACTCTGCCCAGGACTCTGCACATCTCAGGGATGTGGTTGCTAAATTCCAACTCCATTCTGTGGGTGCCCCTGCAGCCATCAGCACCCTAAATGATTCGCCCACACTGCTGCCCTGGAGACTGCTGAGAGTTGAGCACTTGCTGTAACCAGGGATGACCAATGCATGGCTCACTACTGCTCGGGCCTGTCCATGACAGGGGTCAGAAATCGAGCATGGGCTCATAAGACCAGCTTCAGGCACCAGGAAAGAAGAACTAAGAGTCCAGAAGAGCCAAGCCTAAGGGTGTGCGTGCGCGTACACACACACACACACACAGGTGAAGGGCAGCAAGAGGAGTCAGTTGGGTCCCTCAACGCTCCCGATGCCAGCTCGGAACTTCTCACTGGCTGCGTGGCCCTGCTGCACAGTTAAGACACGCTGCACACAGCAGTATTTGGGGAGGCAGAGGAGACAAGCCAGGCTGTCTCAGGCCTGTCACCAGGGACACACAGGGGAGGACAGTTCCCGTGAGGAATTGCATAATTCTGTCCACCGCAGCATGTTTAGCAGTATCGCGGACTCTACTCCTCCGAGGCAGGAGCAGGCCATGCCCATCTGCAGTTGTGACGAAGATGGTTCCACACAGTGGCATGAAGCCCCTGGGGGTCGAATCACCAGTCTAACCGGCCCCACTATTGTACCTAACCTGCTGATAGACAGGCAGTGGCTGTGCTGGCTTTGGGCAGAAGCCTCCAGGACACAGGGCTGGCTCTGCTCTGTCCAGGCCGTGGCCCCTCTCTGGTGGCCCATCCCGATGCAGGCTTTGGAGGTCCCCTCATCCCTGGGTAATCTAGACCCAATGGAGCTTCTCCACCCCCCTTTCAGAGATGTGGCCAGCAGCTCATTTGCTGGATTCATCCAACAAGAGGAGAGAGTACCCCTTAGCTCCTCCATCTTTGTGCTCCCCACAAAGCAGTAGACCGTTCCTACCAAACCCAGGCGGGTCCACTGGCACACAGGACATGGGTTGCCAGGGCCCCAGCTATAAGGGGCAGAGCAGGGATTCACTCCTGGATCTATACCGCAAAGCTCAACCCACTGATGGGCGCCTCCAGGCTTTAGAGAAAGGGAAGCTGTCAGATGCAGCACAGCTTCTCTGCCCACAGCCGAGCTCCTGGCATCCTCTGTAGAGGGACCATGGCCAGAGGCTGCCAGAGTCTGGCACACTCAGCTGAGTTCACTCCAGGGCCACCAGAGTCTCTGTCATGGACCAGCACTGGCCAGCAAGTGGGAGCCAGCACCTTCGTCAGTGCTAACAGGGCTGCTGTTGGGCTGGCACCACAGCGCCCTGGGCGCTCTCTAGGCCATCAAACCCCTGCGATGGGCTCTGCCAACAGGGCCTGGCTGGAGGGAGGAGCCCAAGTTAGCGCCAGCAAGGGTGCGCACAGCTGTCTCTGGTGACTGCCTCACAGCTTTGCAACCTCACCTGCGCCCTCTCTCGCCTGGGTGCCACTCAGTGGATCCTGGCAGGAGGTGGGCACCACCGTGTGGGCCCCACCAGGACCTTGGAGGAGGATGGCACTACGGCTGCACCCCTTAGACAGATGAGCGGACAGACAGCCTTTAGTGAGCAGGCAGCTCTACCCAGCAGACTGGTGGCAGAATGCCTGTCCTAACCACGGAGTTGCCCTGCCTCCTCTTGGGCTAGGATCTCAGCCCATGACAAGAGTCACTTCCGCTCTAGAATCCCACCCGGAGGACAGGGGGGAACATGCTTCCTGGCCTCCTTGAGCGAGGGACCTGGGCAGGTTTGTCCAGCGTACTTCCCCTGCACCGGCACCATGCACAGGTTCCACAGGCGCTATGTGGCGGGAGGGAGCAACGAGGGACAGCCACCCAACGCTGCACAGGTGTCCTTGGCAGGCGAGGTGCCGAGTGCCTTACCTGGTCTGCTTCTGTCCTCACCAAACCTGGCCAGGAGCTGTGATGATCCCAGGTGCATGACGGAACCCACAGCTCCTGAAGGGCGAGGCTGAGGCACCCAGGCTCCCGGCGCACAATCTCCCCATTAGGGTAGGCCCTGGAGGAGGGTCTGAGCCAAGATCCAACACGGAAGTCCCCTGCTCACCTGCAGCTGCCATCCCGAGACAAACAGGACAGGAGCGAGCTGGGCTGGCCTGCGTGAGTGGGAGCCAGGCAGGGCTGTGCCAGCAGGATGGAGGGAGGAGCTGACAGCTCCCAGGAAGGCAACGTCGGCAGGGCCTTGAGGGTGGGAGACCGCTGCGGAAGCCTCGCACGGACACAAGGGAGAGGGGACAGTGGCAGTGATGGGGAAGGGGCAGTAGTGGGATTCTGGGTTGTTTCGGAGAAAGAATTTGCCACAGAACCGGTTTGAGGGACAGGCGCTGGAAGCATCAGGCCCAGTCTTTACCGCCCTCGGCCAGGGGCCCTTCCAAGGAAAGAGCTTTGCCAACAGAAAGCCAGGGCAGGGCACACAGTAGGGGCACAAAGCTGACGCCGCCCTTGCTCCCTTCATCACTGAGGCACTTACCTGGGAAGGGCTACTGACCCTGTGTTGGCGTGGAATAGACCTATGCTCCTCTCCCAAGTGTCTGTAGCCTGACACTGCAGCGCGGCCCTGCCCACCCTAATACAGAGGGATATGCCAGGGTGATGGTGGCCGTGTGGCATCTCTGCCTTCGACCTGAGGTGGATCACACGTTCCAAAGCGTCACCACTCAACTTTGTGACAATCACAGCCTGTGAAGTCATTCTGACCAGCCCCACTGTACGAGAAGCAGCGACTGAGCACCCGGCCTAAGTGACTTGCCCAGGGTCACACAACCAACAAATGAGGGCAGGACTCAGGTCTGTCCAATCCCTGCACCTCACCGTGCTGCCTCCTTGCCCAGCCCCACCCCACCCATGATCTTAGCACCCCCACGGTTTTTTTTGGTACCGGAGATCGAACCCAGGTCCTCAGCTCGCGAGGCAGGCGGTAGAACAGCACCCCCATTCCTGACAAGGGCACATCACAGACCTCCCATCGGCCACATCCGGATTCTACCAGAGAAGGCTGAATCCTCTGCTGATGCTTGTAAGAAGCCGGAACAATTGTTTAGAAAGAAATCATTTTTTTTTTTTACTGCAAATGTTTGCTTCCAGTGTAAGTCATTACAAAAAGATCCCCAAGAAAAACGTGGGTTTTCTAACCTGAAATGATGGTATAACTTACAAAAAATAAATATATATTTCCACCTAAAAAGAAGAAAGATGGTTCTCTGGGTTCGAAGTCAGCAGTGTACAGTAATTCATAGCAAGTATGAATCCTGGGGCAGCAGTGAGCTCTCGCTGCTGACGGGGTCTCACTTTGGTCTGTAACTGAGACACCTAACGGCCCCTCTAGACGTGAAGGGCTTCGCCTCTGCTTTCTTCCAAGGATGCTGAATGCCAAATAAAGAGCCAGGTTTGCCAGTCCCTGCTCCTTGGCCCAGGACTTCCTCCCAAGAAATTAAACCCTTAAGACAGTCTTTCTCCCTGGATAGTACTTAAAAAACAAAATTACTGATATTCATGAATGGGGTCTTTTCTTCTCGTGGAAGAGCATCGGTATCCAAAATGTCAAGCTTTCCGCCATATGCTGCCCCCGGCAGCCAGCCAGATGCCAGGGGTGAGAAATTAAAACCAAAGAATGAAGAGGAGACTCCAGGGGACTCCCTTTGGTACCAACTGGTAATACTTGGGAGGTCCCTCAGGCTCTTTGCTCTGGATGCTTCGTAGCCAATGGCAGTCCTTCTGCTCTTCCCAGTACTGACAGAAGTAAACCCGCCCTAGCAATGGGTGTTAGGAGGCCAAAGGAAAGCAAGGGAAAGGTGGAACAGGTGGTGAGTGAGCAGGCTGGAAAGTCAGCAGCAACCACCCGGCCCTGGGGTTTCCGGTCCGGGTCAGCCACAGGTCCAGCCACGCCCTTCCGGTGAGCACAGAAGCATGGTGGGGCCACAAGGCTGCCTCTGGCCACTGAAGCACAGCCTGGCAGGCAGGGCTGGAGTGTTGCTCCCAGCATCGCAGTGTCTGGAAGACCAGATGGTGGCAAGAAGGCTGCCAGGACCCTTGGGAAACGGCCTGGGGGTCAGAATGATTTTCACCAGGCCTCTCAACCTCAGGGCTGAAGCCCCAAGGAAACGAGGCATTCGGCTGGAACCAGGTAAGGTTCTAGAGGTGACAGGGAGCCTCTTGAAGCCTTGAACCACAGGCTTTGGCTGGAGAGATGAGGCAGCTGGCTGGGTTTGGTCACTAGCATGTTCTACACAGCCAATTTCTCCGAAGTCTGGCTGCTGACGCCCCGCCGTGTAACCACCCGGGACACAGCTTGCATTTTTGAAGTGTGAGCACATGTATGGGTCTCCTGGGGGCTGGGGTGTCTGGGCTCTGTCTCCTGTTTCTTCAAGGTCCATGCTGGGCAGGGGCTAGATGATGGCAGCTACTTTGTGTGCATTTTGGTTTGATGGGTTTGGTTTTCTTTCTTCTTTTTTTGGTTTTGAGAGGACTGCGTACCCAAGGACGCTGGCTCATCCCTGGACCCTGGACACTGGTGTGCCGGCCCTGCAGTTCTGACCAGCTGCAGCAGCTCCGCCACTCACACCAGGCCGGCATCTCTGGCCATGCTGTAGAAGAGGCCCCTCTGCTGGAGGAGGTCGGAGGGGGTGCCACACTCCCGGATTTCCCCTTTGTCCAGCACAATCACCCTGCAGGGGAAGGATGCAGACATGAGGGCCAGGAGCTTGTGTCCCTGAGAGCCCCTCTGGGCAAGTCACTGTTTTGGGGCTGATCCCGAACTTCCACCGAGGCTGCTGCGGTGGCCTTCCAGCTACTGGCTGCCCAGCTTTAATCCCTATTTCTGATCCATTTCAAACTCCTGCCCCCTAAATTTCTATCCCAAACAGTGTTGGGGACAGTTCATAACGATAATGATGTCAATTGTTCAGATTCATTGGTCCGTTACACTCAGAATACAATAAGAAGGTCTTAGCATTGTCTACAACAGGGCTCAACAGCCTTTCTTCTGGAAAGTTCCAGATGGTAAACATCTTCAGCATGCTTTCAGTTACACTGCTCAACTCGGCTGTATTCAAAATGTGAAAGCAGCCAGAGGTGACAGGAAGATGAGGCTGTGTGCCAAAACAACTGTATTCATACAAATGGACAATCGGCTGAGTTTGGCCTGTGGGCCATAATTTGCTGACCCTTGGTATACAAGGTTCTGTCAAGATCCAACAATGTCCATTTCTGATCTCATGTCAAACTAATTTCCACTGGGTCTCAAATGTGCCACCATGGCACCTGTTACATAGCAGGTGCTCAAAAATTTCTTAAAACTGTCACATCAGCTGGGTGTGACGGTGCAGACCTGTAATCCTAGTACTCTGGGAGGCTGAGTAGGATCACAAATTCAAGCTCAGCCTTGGCTACTCAGTGACTTAGCAAGACCCTGTCTCAAGATAAAAAGCAAAACGAGGGGGATGGGCCTAGGGATGTAGCTGTGTGAAGGGCCTGGATTCAATCCCTAGAAGTGAAAAAAAGAAAACAGGTCACTCCCCTGCTTAAGACCCTCTATGACTTCACAGTGCTCTTGGAATAAGTTCCTAACCTCCTCATGTGACTACCTGGTGCTCTCAGGTCTAGCCCCTGGTTACCGTTCTGGCTTCCTCTCCTATCAGGATCCACTCAAGTCTAACCTCTAGGCACAATGGCCTTCAAATTCAGTAAACACATTCCCATTTTAGGGCCTTTATACTATGCTGTGCCCTCTGCCTAGGATATTCTTTCTTTAGATCAAAGTTTGCCAAACTATGGCCTGGTGGCCAAATCTGGCCCTCTTCCTGTTTTTATGAGTAAAGTTTTATTAGAACATAACTGTGCTCACTCATTTCTGTATTGCCTATACCTGCATTCATGCTACTATGTTGGAACTGAACAGCTGTAACCATGACCTCCTGACCTGCAAAGCTGAAAATATTCTGGTCCTTTACAGAAAAAGACTACTGAACCCTGTTCTGGATTTTTCTGTGGCCAACATTCTCATTATTCAGGCCTCAGCTCAAATGTCACCTCCTCAGGGGGGCCTTTCCTGATCACCCATGCTAAATTCAAAACCTTCAGCACCCTGCACCAGGGCCACGTGACGACTTCTGTGGACAATGATGCCTGCATGGCTGCTTGCTCCATACCAATGTTTTTTTTTTGTACCGGGGATCGAACTCGGGACCTTGCATTTGCCAGGCAGGCGGTGGAACCACTGAGCTAAATCCCCGGCACCAATGTCTAACAATTTGATTTTACAACTGTGTAGGTATAAAGACAACTATAATCTGGGATGGATTATATTTTTTTCTTTTTTCTTTTTTTGGCAGTACAAGTACTAGTACTATAGTGGGTTTATACTGAGCTACATCCCCATCCTTTAGTTTTTTATTTTGAGATAAGGTCTCACTAAGTTGCCCAGAGTGGGTTCAAACTTGCAATCCTCTGCTTCAGCCTCCCAGAGTACTGGTATGACACCACCAAGCACAGACTGCTACTGCCTTCCCCTTTGCCCATTATCTTCCCAACATATACTGCCCTCTGAAATCATGTTATTTGTTGCTCTGCTCATTGTCTCCTCAAACTACACTACCCAGTCCCTGGATGGGTGCCCTGGCCAACAGCATCATGTAGAGCTCCCAGGGCCCAGAGCTAAGCCCCACTTCTAGGCACATAGAAGGCACCATGCATAGAGAAGATGAGAATAAATGAGTGCATGATGCCACAAGCACCTGGCACTACCCAAGATATAGAAGCCCCACCAACGGGCTGTTCCTTGGCATAAGGACTGGATGGATGGATGGATGGGGCAGTGACCAGAGCCAGGCCTCTTAGCTAGGGCTTCACCTTGTGTAGTCCATGATGGTGTTGAGCCGGTGGGCAATGGTGAGGACCGTGCAGTCCTCGAACTGTGTCCTGATGGTGGACTGGATGAGGTCATCTGTTTCCAGGTCGACGGCTGCCGTGGCCTCATCCAGCACGAGGATCTTTGTCTTCCTCAGCAAAGCCCGGGCCAGGCACACAAGCTGGCGCTGCCCAATGCTAGAAAAGCCGAAGAAGACCAGAGACCATGTTAACCAAGCCTGACCCTGAAGCCAGCTGATCTGGGAGAAGGAGAGGAGACACTTGGTCCTGTTTAGACCAGAAGAGCCCACCCACTCCCCATTTCCATGCCTGTGGCAGACATCACTAATCAATTGTCTATTTCCTATGGCAGGAGAAGCAGGATAAATTTCTACACAGGGTTCAGAGGAGCTATTCAAAATACTGGTCCCGTTCACCATGAGTGGTGTAGTGAGTAGCAAATGGCCCTTATCCATGCACCCCTATCCAACCACACGGCCCTCACAGCTGACTCGACTTGGCCATGTGCCTGGCCTTGATGAAGAGGATGTGACAAACACAGGGAGAGCAGAAGCCGGACCTGGGGATGAACACTGGGCCTTCCCCGTCACCATGACAACAGGCCCACCTGGTCTGCTGGGGGACGACAGGCACATGGAGTGCTCCCTACTGCTCTTAAGAAGGCCAGAAAGATCAGCCAACAGCCAGGTGACCCTCGCCACATGAGTGAGCGCAGTCAGGCGAACAGAGCCCCCGGCAGGCCACCCTAGCATGTGAGCACAGGGAGGACGGTTGTCATGGCGATGGGTAGCTGAACCAAGCTCTGACTAAAGGCACTGGGACAAGACTGGGGAGATTCCTCACTGAAACAGGCGTTAGCTGCGGAATCCTAGGGAGATCCCGGAGACCCTGAGAAGAAAGCCAAGGCAGCAGGGACGGTGGGTAGGGAGGCTCAGAGCAGAGCTACCTGCCAACTGGTACAGCGCCCTTTCATAGTTTAACAAATGACAGGCACCCTCAGTGCGTTTGGGCCAATGTATGATGGGAAATGCACTGTTCTTCCTGGTTATACTTCAAGGAAAATAGAGCCTGGAGTGAAAACGATTTTACAGCCATGGAGGCTGAGGCGCCAAGGGGCGAAGGGACAAGTGGCTTGTCTGTGGCGGAACCAGGCCTCAAACCCACACAAGAGGGCAGAATCTCCACACACGCGGGCCTGGGCGGTGCCCAGGGGACCTGCTTCCCGCCCGACTGGCCCGGCTCCAACCACCTCAGGTTCTCTCCGCCTTCCGCGCACTCATGGTTCAGCTTGTCCGGCAGGCCCGACACGAAGCCCTTCAGGTGAGCCAGCTCCAGGGCTGTCCAGACTTCGTCGTCAGAGTACTGGGCGAAGGGGTCCAGGTTCATGCGGAGGGAACCCGAGAACAAAACAGGGTCCTGCGCAGAGGGGAGAGGAGCCGGCATGTGAAGCTCGTGCCATGTTCAGCGGGGACAGAACCCAGAGGCAGATGCAAAACGTTCTCCACAGAACTGCGGAGCAACAGACTTCAGAGTCCCTCAGAATCCCTAATTCTAGAGATGTTCATCATTTAAAAAAGAAAAGGAAACCTCAGGTTAAGTGGTAGGACACAAATCTCCCTTGGGCACAGCTTCTCGGAGCTTTCGACAGGCAAATGTGCTGGGGTCCATACAGAATGTAGCACCGGCAAATGCTAAGGTGCTGTGGCTTCCTCCCGTCTCCCACCTCTGGAACGGAACCCTGGGAGAAATTCTGGGAGAGTAATCCCAACAGGCAACGTATTAGGGAGCCGCCACCTACACTGATCAGTCTGCAGGGAATTCTCACTCGGTTAGTCTTGGAAGCAATAAAGATTCTCATTCTGACTCTGACAGCCAGGAGAGGAGACAGGGTTGCACTAAGACCCCTCTCAGATATCAAAATCCACAGGTGCTCAGGCCCCGTGGGTAATGGTGCGGTATATGTATATAACTTACATCCTCCTGTACACTGTCGGCTACCTCTAGATTATTTAGAGTACTAGGACAGTCTGAATGCTGTGTGAGCAGTTGTTATATTGTATCACTTAGGGAATGATGTCAAGAAAAAAATCTGTACATGTTCCATATAGATCTAAATTTTTTTTTTTTTGGTACCGGGGATCAAAGTCGGGTCCTTGCACTCGCGCAGCAGGTGGCGAAACCACTGAGCTAAATCCCTGGCCCTAGATATAAATTTTTGAAAAAAAAGAGAAAACATCTGTGATTTAGGGTTGGTCGAGTCCACACACAGCAGGCTGCTGTCACTGTCTGTGAGGGCCCACCGGCCCCACCTGGGGTATGATGGTGATCTTGAAGCGCAGGTTGTGCAGGCCGATTTTAGCGATGTTGATGCCATCGACGACGATCTCGCCTCCAGAGGACTCATTCATCCGAAACAGGCCCAGGGTGAGAGAGGACTTGCCGGCTCCTGTTCGCCCCACGATGCCCACCTGTTGGACAAGAAGGGCCTGGATGAGGTGGGAATGCTCAAATCTGGGGCTGCCCTGGCCTCGCAGTGTCCTCACTGTGGGCGGCTGGGCGGGAGAGGTCCAGTCATCTGCTTGACCCAACTCCCACCAGCACACTCTGTCCTCAGATCCCCAGGACACTCCTGTAGGGGCTGCTTTGGCCAAATGTCAAGAGACACTCCCTTGTGGGGTGTGGGAGTCACATGCCTGTGATCCCAGCACTCTGGGAGGCTGAGGCAGGAGGACTGCAAGTTTAAACCTAGCCTTGGCAACTTAGCAAGATAGTCTCAAAATAAAAAATAAATAAGGCCTGGGGATATAGCCAAACTCAAGGAACTTAAGTGAGCAGAGACCTCCAAAAAGACAGGTATCAGGCAGAAGGAATTTTTTTTTTTTTTTTGGTACCAGGGATCACACTTGGGACACCCTGCACTTGCAAGGCAGGTGGTGGTACCACTGAGCCAAATCCCCGGCCTCAGAAGGAATATTTAATAAGGCCTATTACATTCAACTCAGGAGAGGATTAAGCAACGGTTGGGTATTTCCTTTTCTTCCCCACCCTGTGTTTCACTCCTCTAATGGGGATCTTCCCAACCTGAGCTACTGAAATTTCTGAGACGCAAGCAGATGCCACCGACCCCTTTTAATATGGCCTGGTCTCCACTGGAGAGATCTGGGCTTCCCATTAACAGCCAGCGGCTGGCATCCCTGATGCCCCACACAGCCTCTCTGCCTCCGGCCTGGTGAGAGGCAGGCTCCCACAACCCTGTAACAGATGTCACAGCGCAGCAGGCAGGAGCAGTTCCTATGCTGTGATGTAAGTCAGAAAGACGCTGTGGGAATACGGGCTGCCCTAGTTTCCCCCTTCCCTTGTTAGAAGTCATCTAATGGGAATGAGATGTTCTGAGCCTCATGCAGGGAGAGTTTAACAAATCCGTATGATCAGAAATACCAACTGCCAGGAAGACCTCTGACCTGATTTCCGGGGAAATTCTAAGGATCCCAAGGATGTCTTCCAGGAATAGCTTCCAACCAAAGGAAGGTCCTAAAATCCCCACAATTTGTATGTGCCTCGAGCTGCCCCTAAGCAGTGACAAGGACATCACCTTGCAGGCCTTCAAAGGGCCCAGCTGACACCATGCAGGGGGAACAGGGAGGCTATAGAGCTTTTGCAAACGGGAGGAGGACCAAGAGACTAAGGCGGAGGGAGGGAAGGGGACGCAGAAGGATCTTGGGGGTGCCACGTACACGCACCGGCTAACCACAATGAATGCGATCATCGTGTGCCACAAACGTGAGCTAGAAAGAAAAGAAGAAAGAAAAGGGGGGAGGGAATCTACAGCCGGAGAGATGGAGGGAGGAGAAGGGGAGGGAAGGGGAACAGAGAGTCAAAATACGTTAGGTGCAAGTGCCCAGTCCCTAAAACCAATGCCAACATGCACTGAGTGCATGCACTAGTAAAAAATAAAATCATTCACTCCAAAAAAAAGTGCCAGGAAGGTGCATTGGTCCAATGTTGTTAAATGTCCTGACATGTCAAGCAAAGTGGCTGTGTTTCTGTGTAAAATGTGAACAGACTTTTCAGTATTCATGACTCGCTTGCATCCCCCCTCTCTCCCCAAACAAATCTGCAGCCTCATTTGGCCTCTGGGCTCCTGGCATGAAACCTCTGGACACGGATCAGCCCTCACTTCCACTGGCCCCACACAGTGCGGGGCTGCCCTGGCTGGGGAGGTGACTGTTGGCTTTAGCTGCCTGACTCCAGCCCGAATGCCCAACTGTGAACAGGTGTGTGTGTGTGTGGGGGGCACAACACAAACCCACCTTTTCTCCCCCTTCGATGGTGAAGTTGATGTGCTTGAGAACCAAGTCCAGGTCCTCTCTGTACCGCAGGCTGTAATCCCGGAACTCCACTTGGCCCACCTGGGGCCAGGTGCTGGGTGGAGCTGTCTCCTGGATTTGCCAGGGAGCCTTAGGTCACAGGGAGGGACAGGAAGGGGGAGAAAAGAGGAATCCTGAGTCCGTCCTGCACGCCACAGGCTCTATCAGAACAGACCTCCGGCTTCCCTCCCGCCCTGTCTCCCTCCCTGTCCTGCTAGACACACCCCATGGCCTGCCTCCACCTTTGCACCTCCTGTTTGCTTGTCCGGGAACGCTCTTCCCCAGGCTACCCACTGGGCCCCACGTTCACCTCCTGCAGACTCAGGGCCACCCCCGGCCCTGTGTCCTCGTGCCCTCCCCTGCTCGGTGGTCCTTCAGAGCGCTGACCACCTCCCACACACCCCTGACCACCATGCTCTGACACTGTTTTCTGCTGTCTCTATGCCAGAGCACACAGTAGGGGGCTGATGAAATGCTCACGGACAGAAGCGATGCGTGAGTGGCCTTCTCCCAACAGGCGTGAGAGTAAAGGTGCACAGCTGACTCCCTGGCCTGGAGAGCAACAGTGACGCCATGGCTGGCTGACACTAGACCACCAAGTGCCAAGCTCCGCACCCCACCCATGACTGTCACCTGACCTCATTCCTCCTCCCAGGGACCTCCAAAGGGTCCTGTGACATCCCCAGTCCACACATGAAGAAGCTGAGCTGAAGGCAGGCTAAGCGCCTCACGCAGGTCATGCAGCCCCTACTTCTGAAAAATGCAGTTCAGCATTTGCTGAACCCACAAGAGGTATGCTCTGGGCCAGGCTTGGGGGCTGTGGCCCAGGGAATGCATATCCCTCCTGAGACCAGCACGTGCAGGAGCATCCTGCTGCAGGTCAGCAAAGAGCAGGACAGGGCGGATGACCCGTCTGGCACAGAATCACTAAAACACACCAGCGTGTTTAGGGAGCACTTACAGTGCTCTGGGCGCTCCGCTCAGTCTTGGTGACTGAGGATCTCACTGGAGGCTCGAAGCAAACCTACCAGGCAGGGACTACTGTATTTTTTCAGATGCAGACATGCCTGGGCCCCGAGCAGGGCCAAAGACAAGGGGGAGCACCTGCACAGAAAAACCCACACATGTGACTGGGGTTAAAAGAAACAGAAGCATGCAAGGGTGTGCATACGCCAGGGAAAGGTCTAGGACCTGCCTGTGAATAAGGGCTCTGTCCAGGGAAGGAGCCAGCGCAGGGCACAGGAAAGGACAGCTGTCATCTGTTCTCCCCTGGAAACTTCCTGCATAAGTCTTTTTAACAATAAGCCTACCTCCACTCTATAATTTAGGGACATGCACGAAGGCGACATGTTATAGAACAGAGAGGACTGGAAAGAAGCGCATGGAGGATCACCGCAAGTTCCAGGCCAACCTGGGCTACACAGTGAGTTTGAGGCCAGCCTGGACTACATGGCCTCCAAAAAAAAAAAAAAGTAAAAATATGTAAAGTGTTTTCTTAAAAACAGCTGCAGGGCATGTGGATTATATCTCGATAAAGCTACTATAAGAAAGTAAATTCACCGTGGGGTGGGTAACAGCACTGGACCCACTTTCACAGTAGACCTGGGTCATGGTGTGGGTGAATTAAAGGTCAGATGCAGGCCACTGCGCTGGCTCTCAGGACAGACCTGCACTGGGACTTTGGTCCTGGTCCCAGAGGGGCATGTTCTCAGTGGGCAGCAGGGCACCATGCAGGCCCACATCTGGGTCCACCGTCTGCCAGACATGTGACCGGGGTGAGTGGCTCACACCTCTCTGAGTCTCAGCCTCCTTGCCTGTAAAGCAGACCTAATAAGAGCATCTACTACAATGCAGCACAGTGGTGACGGTGAGTCACCCTGTGCAGAGACATTCAGGACAGGGCCTGACCTCACCAGAGCACAGCGTGTGTCCCTGGTGGCCTTGCCAGTCACTCTTGTTACTATCATGACTGTCACTAACACTGCTGCTGGTGGGGCTGCTCAGGCCTCGAGGGTGCCATCAGGCTGGGGACCTTGGTCTTAGTCCCCTGCCGCCCTGAGCCCCTTGTGACCCTGATTGGCACCGGTCCTTCCTGGTCTAGAAAATAGAGACCAGCTTTCCTGAGGCTCAGGCAATGCCTTACCACACCAAGATTTCTGCCGTAACCATCTACCGATTCCTTTGTCACTGACTTTCTGTCACTTATTTTCGACACTGCGAATCAACGCATTTCTACTTAATTGTTTAACTTACTTAAAAGGAAAACTTCTATACAATCACAAATGGAAAACTAGTTATCTTCTGTAACAGAAGCTCCTTGTAAAACTACAAAACAAATAGCAGGTCATCTTGGCTGGATAAATGCTGCCCCTTGAAGGCTGCTCTTTACATCTGCTGGCGGGAGATTATCTTCAGATAGTGCAGCAAACTAAGACTTTCTCGGCGAGGCCAACAAAAGCTAGAAATGATGAGAATCAGGAGGGGTAAGATGTCCTCACTACACAGTGAAGGCTGTCTGATGCCCTGAAAACATCCTGTGACCTTGTATACTGGCCTCCTATATCTGGGAAAAACCTGGATAATTAGAAACTATCTTCTTACTCTAAAACCAGGTGGTTCCAGGCAGGCATCGAAAGAGGCAATAGGAGCACCAGACGGACTTCTACCCGGTGGGGCATCCAACACACTGTCCCGCTCAGAACAGGAGGCACAAGCCACGGCTGCTCGGGTGTCTTCTGGGGTAAAGCCACAGTGATGGGCAGGCCCAAGGGGTCAGGCTGGGGCCCCGGCTTTACCTCTTTCTCGGTTTCTGAATACTCCTTGAGTCTCTCCACGGCTACAATGTTGGTCTCCATCTCGGATGACATCCGAACCAGCCAGTTCAAGTATGAGGTGATCTGCAAGTGGAAGAGTCAGCGTGGAGCTTACAGAGCGAACGCGACTTACTTTATTTTCATCATGAAACACTTCAAGTAAGAAAAGTACAGATGTTAGCAACCCCACAGACAGCGGTCACCCACACTGCCCGCACTTCATCCCTAAGCACTGTGTTTTTCAAAATGATCATGGGCCACACAAGTCTTTGGAAAGGAAACCAGAAAACACTTGGAATTAATCGATAATATGAAAACACAATGTATCAAAACTCATGAGACCAGAGGGAGGTAAATCCGAATTTGGGGTTTGCTGTGGTTTTTTGAGTCAGGGCCTTGCTAAGTTGTCCAAGCTGGGCTTGAACTTCTGATTCTCCTGCCTTAGCCTCCCTGAGTGCTGGCTTGAAATTCGCAGTTTTAAAAGCGTTTCCCTTGTAGCTGGCAGCATCCCCTCACGCCATCGAGGAGTTTTCTCGACTGGTGGAGAATCCCGGCCGTGTCAAATCCCTCTTCTGCTTCAGGTGGCCCAGGTTCTGCACTCAGATCTCCCCGGTCCTCCTGCTCCCTTCCCTCTCTTCCCATTCCTGAGAGAATGCAGTCAAGGCCCAGGAACCTGGCAACTGTTTCTCCCCACTGTGAGATGTGAACCGTCCAGCTAAGAGCGGCCGCTCCTACCTGCAAGGAGTAAGACACCGAGAGGCCCACCAGGCCGGCGCTGAGGCTGTTCCGGGAGATGACTGCGAACAGGGCGGCGAACAGGACGATGCAGTTCCCCACGCATTCCAGTCGCACCGCGAGCCACCTGCACAGAGGGAGACACAGGCGGACGGGCACACAGACACACGCACACAGTCAGCCTTTCAGAGACCTGGCTCCAGGCCATGGGGGCAGACGGTCAATGTGCTAGCTGGAATGACTCCCGAGAGTTCTGGAGAAAGGCCTTCTCAGCGCTGCCCGGAACAAAACATGTGGCCTGGCCACGGGGCCAGGGCCCGTGAGACTTGAAGTTCCTACCTCCCACCGGCCCGGTCAGCCCCAGGAGAAGCACAGGGTTCTCCAGAAGCTTTTCCCCTGGAATCTGAAACTTGCCTTCTTAGGAACCAACCTTTTCTCAAGAAGTCTTTTAAATGTTACGCACATACGCATCTCATAAAAAGATACCCTAGAACTTAAACACAAAGAAGCCCTCAACGGTAAGAGGCGCCACTGATTTAAAATGAGTCTCCTGGGCTGGGGCTGTAGCTCGTGCTAGAATGCTTGCCGAGCATGTGTGAGACCCTGGGTTCAATCCCCAGCACCGCAAACGAATGAACAAGTCTCTGAGAAAGAGACAGATCTAGAAGGGAGATGCACGCTACTATGTTCAATGTGCCTGACATGTTCTCAGAAACACAAAAATGTATTATTTACTTTTTTAAACATAAAGATATTTTGTGTGTTTAAAGTTAACTTTCATAAGCTATCATGTAGCCCAAGAGAAACTATTTTCACATTTTAAAATGTAAAGGAGTTTGCATTTCTTTCAGGAAATAGGGCGGCTGGATCAACTTTTTTCCCTTACCATCTATGTGACTGATCCTCTTATGTGTGAAATTCTCCTACAGACAAAGCCAGACTTTGGCAAACTTCCTAACAGCCCTGCCAGGAAGTCAAGGGCTCCAGCAACTCTGGGTCTCCACCCAGCCTGTAGCGATGGGATCAGACTGTGCCCAGTGGGTGAGGTTGGCGATGATCTACACTGCCTTTCAACAAAGTGTGCCAGCGTGCAAAAGGGTGAGGAGGGGAGGCTATTTGGGGATACAGCAAACACTACTCTAAATTCAGCAAATAATTTGCAAACCTCTGCCCGTCATGGAGGACCGGACGTCACCAAGACAGCAGTAGACAGTGCTCGAGGGACTCTACGACTCCAGCAGAAACCTGTCCTGCGCTCACAGCGCTCCTGTCTGTCTCGGACGGTCGCCGTGCCTCCCCTCCGCAGGGGCCCCAGCCTGTCTGCTTGGCTGCTTTGCGCCCTGCCCATGACCCAGGGGCCCAGGCGGAATCTCCCGATGGCCCTCCCATCCCAGTGCCCACCTGTTGGCCACAATGCTGGGGTAGTAGGCCTTCTGGTTCTCATCCACCTTCAGGTCACTCTGGTGGATAAAGCGCTCCTGCTCCTCAAAGGCGCGGATGACGCTGACCCCCAGCAAGGTCTCGTTGAAGTGGGAGTAAACTGGGGAGCGGCTGACTGACTCAAGGCGCTTTAGCTGCCGAGAGGAAGCCACGTAGAACCTCTGGGGGGGTGGGGGAGAAGCGACAATTTGGCAATGGTTGGCTCATCTGGTCCTGCTGGGGCTGTGCTGGAGAAGTCTGGATATGACTGATACTTCCAGGAGGCAAAATGCTGGGCACTTAACAAGTGTCCTGCTCACCTGGTGGACTTCAGGCACAGCGTGGACAACAGTGACAATAACCAATATTTACACAGAGCCCAGTGTCCACGCCCAGTGTATGATCCTCACAGCAAACCCACGAGGTGCTCCCTCGCCCTCCTGCCTCAGGCGGAGGAAATCAGGCACACAGAGCCCAGCAGAGGTGGGGCCTGGCTGGAGGTGGGCGCTGGGGTGGACCTGGAAGGTGTATTCCCGTCCCCGCTCCCTGACGCCCTGCTTTCTGGCTGCCACGGGGCGAGCACCTCTTCCTCTGCCGTGCTATTTCCGCCTTGGAGCCAGCTGGCATGGACTGAAACCGTGAGCCAAGATAAACCTCTAAGCTGTGGGTGTTGGATATTCTGTTCTAGTGATGGGAAAGTGGCTATGATACAACACTTTCAGTAAATGCAGCTACAAGATTTGCCAAGAAAAAGTGGCACCAATTTAAAGAGGCTATGGGGAGGCCCTGGGAACTGGATCTGGCCTCTCTGACTCGGTCCTTCTTCCTGCTCAACAATTCCCAGGCTGCAGTATAAGGGGGTCCAGGGGTGGGCTGGACCAAGGCCTGCTGGACCTCACCCAAACAGAGAGGAATGGGGTACCATGCACCCCTGCTTTGCCGTGGGAACGCTCCCATCTCAGCCAAGAACCTCACCTAGCAAGTGTGCTACAGTTAATGCTTTGGTGCAGCCGAGGGCAGGACAAGCTTGGGTTCACGTGCTGAACCCCGGCACTTGGGTAAGATGCTTCTCCTCCTCGGGCCTCAACACACTCGCCTGTCAACTGGGAACACGATCTGAGAAACCAGTGTGTTCAAAGAAAAGATGGTAACAGGTTCTACAGAGGGGCTGGGGCAGAGAATACTAACTGCTTGCACAGTATCCTCTTCTTTCCCAGCCAAAATTTATTATCGGAAACTACAATGTGCCCAGCTAAAAAACTGCACTTGCTACCCTCCTTGCAAAGAGCAGGGGTCACATGACCAAGTTTGGACCATTAGCTGTAATTAAATGGGTAGAACTGATTCAGCAACCATACACTTTCTTGGCCTGTTCCTTCTCTTCGTCTCACTGTCTGAAAATACAGATATGATGGCTGAAACCCCAGCAACCCTCTTGGACCATGAGACCAATTTAAGAATAGAATGCTTATGCAAGAAGGGAGAGAAGAAGAGACAATCTAGCACACTAACAAAGTCATTGAGCTGCCATCTCAGCCCTGGCCTACCCCGAGATATCTATTACAAGAGAGAAAAACAGACGTCTATCCTGCTTAAGTTGCTATCTTTTGTGTCTCCATTATCTGGTTATATCTAGCAGATGTATCTTTATACCTATACAGTTTTGTTTTCTAACTCAAAGCTAAAAAAGTACAATTTACTAGAAGGAACACATATGCGTTTTGGTTATCGCAGCTAAAAATCAATTTAGGTATTCAAAACAGACAGAAGCAAACCTAAGCTCCCTCCAGGAAGTCCTCGACCGCCCTATGCTGGGCAAACAGGGAGATGTCGGGTGACAGGCCCTGGACACCACACCTCCCTCACCTGCACGAAGAAGTAGATGAGGCCCAGCGGCGGGATGACCACAGCAGCGATGGGGGTTGCCAGCAGGATGAGGATGCAGGAGCCCAGGACGGTGAACAGGGAGCCCATGAACATCTTGATGACCTGAGGAATCATGGAGTCCACCGTGTCCAGCTCCTTGGAGAAGCGGTTCACCAGGTTCCCGCTGGGGGTGCGCTCAAAGAAGCTCATGGGCGACCGGAGGACGTTGTGCAGCAGGTCCAGGTGCAGGCGGCGGGAGGCAAAGATGCCCCCGATGGACACCGTCATGGAGTAGCCAAACACGGCAACACCTGCAAACACTTGCGTGTGAGGCTCTGTGGTGGGGAGGGGCCAGGCAGGGGCTGAGCTGCAGGAGGAGGGATGCACGGAGCAGGCAGGCCGGACTCCCAGCTTCCCAGAGTGGCAGTGCACTAAGTACCTGCAGAGCAGGGCGCTAGGCCTTCACACCTGTCTAAATCTAGGGACCCCTGGGTAAGTTCTACTGCTACCTGCTTCAGATGAGAAAATGAAACCCAGACCAGCGGATTCTGCGCAAAGCATATTTAGCAGATGAAAGCAGAGTGGGCCTGGGCTCCAGGCTCCCAGCCTTCACCCCTGGGCCTTCGGCAGTGTCCCAAGCTGTCCACCTGCGTGGTCCAGGAGGGCGGCACCAGCCGCAGTGGCCACTGAGCACTGGCCGAGTGGTTCATTCAACCCAAGAACTGAATGGTCAGTTCTCACTACCTGGAATTCAAACAGCCACCAGAGCTTGTGGCTGCAGAGCAGACGCTGACTGTGTGGGCCCAGGTAAGCATCATACCCTCTCTGCTCTCTGCTTTCCCTCAAAAAGAATTTGCAGGCCACAGCCCTTTGCCCCACTAGTAGGGGAAGGGGAGGTTACCAACTGAGAAACTCAAGAAATGCACATCTGCTCTTCTGTTAATAGCTTTTTCCAAAGCCACTTCCTAGTGATCATGACTCATCTGAGGCTCCTCCAAACCACCCCCAGCAGAGTGCAGTTCTTTCCAGGCTGCAATGCGGTAGGTGTGGAGAGGCTTCCCCGGTGGCTGCTTTGATCAGGAAGAAACTCAGAGGCCAGGGTGAGAATGGGAGGGTCTCGTCTCTGGCCAACACTGCCAAACACTATCTCTGCCACTTGCTAGTTTGGGGACCTTCCCCAAGTCACTTAACCTCTGAACCTCAGTTCCCTTATCTGTAAGATGGGGACAATGACATTTACCTTAGAGCACTATTGAATGCCAAGTGGCAACGTGCCTGCCATACAGAAGTGCTCCAGTGTGTCAACCGTATGCATTTACTGTACACGCTCACATATCACAGACACCGGACAGGTGCAGGCATACCCGCAGTTTCTGTGAGCACATACGCAAAATCCCATGTCCTGCACAGCACAGCCGCTAAGGGTGTGAGCCCCTGAGCCCAGAATGACTCATTCAGTACCTGCTCTGCCATGCATTCGCTATGTGACTCTGGGCAACTGACTTAACCTCTCTGGCCCTCACTTTTTCTACTGCTGAAAGGGGGAAAATAATAGCTCCTCCCTCATGGGATTGCTGTTAGGATAAAACACTTTAGCACATGTAGCAGAGCTGAGAGTGGAGCCAGGCACCGAGTAAATGCTCTGTTGTGTCCGGGTACCTCCATGGGTCACACAGAAGGCAGACGACAGAATTCTCCGTCTCCTCACTGCTGACTCACCCTGGCTGCTGTGGGGCTGTTCTGTGCACCCTGGAATATTCAGCCTTCAGGTGCCAGGGGCCACAACCCACCTCCCCTCTGGATGGGACAACGAGAAATATCTCCGGGTGTGGTCCCGCATCCCCAGGGACAGCACCCAATAAACCTGAACCTTTGCACAGCAGGCCACTGCTTACAGAAGACTCTGCAGGAGCCCCATCAGGCAGCAGAGCAATGGGACAAGGGGCCTCCAGCCTGCACAGCTCCCAGCGGCCCCTGCTCCCAACTTTCCCCATCTGGAAAATGGGCAAGGAGCTCACCTCCCTCCAGCCTCCTCGGGGCCGAAGAGTCAGTGTATTCGAGAAGCATTACCTCTACAAATGCCTGAGGCCCTGCTATGTGACTGATGCTGCTCACCTGGGTTTGGCTTGGTTTTGGGGATCCATGCAACCTCGAGCATTTAGGGGCCCAATTCTGTAATCAGACGTGAAGTGATTACAGGGTGGGATGGTGACACCCACCTTGTGAGATGCCCAGAGCTCCGTAGACGCCCAGCCGGACATTCGTGTGCTCCTGGGTCCCGTTGACGACACGGTCGTCCGTCCACAGACTGAGCCAGTAGTTGGAAGCCAGGGAGGAGACGTGGTTGCACAGGAAGAGGAAGATGCTCAGGAAGGAGAGGAAGAGCCCGATCGCCTTCATGTAGTCCCAGTACACCGAGAGCTGCACCTAGGGGCCGCGGAGACAGCAGTTGGGGCAGGGTCGGCAACATCCCTAGCTCGTTTCCACCCAGACCCACACCACCCTCCCTTCAGTCATTCGACGGAGGAAGCCGTCAGAGGACAACAGTCAAAGCCTCTGCCTTTGCAGAGCCTCCAGCCAAGGGGCCACACATGTTGCCATCCAATCATCCACGGGGTAAATGCATGATCGGAGAAAGGCTATCATGGGTGTGCAATTCCAAAAGTATTAAACTGCACACCCTAACCTAACCCCCAGGGAGGGGGTATCAGGGGAGGTTTCATCTAAGGAAGTAACAGTAGGGAGTTCACCAACTGAAAGTGGAATACTTCAAGTGGAGGGAGCAAGTGCAAAGGCACGGAGGCAGGAGGAAGCACAGCACCTTTGGGCAACTGGAAAGGGGCAAAGGTGGCTGAAGTGAGAGCACGGGGTGGAGAGGAAGGTGAGGTTGGAGGGGGAAGTCGCACCCGGGTCACCCACGGTCTGGCGATTCAGGTCAGGGTTCTGATCTTCACTGCAGGACGCTCAGGAAGCCGTCAGAGTTTTAGACCAAGGGTAAGGTGGGACACGCTGTCTACCAACCAAAGCCAACCGTCACTGCCACTGCACAGTCGGTGCTGCCCGTGACTCAGCACCAAGAACCACCTCGGCTGGATGCCCACTGCTCGGTGCTTGCTGAGCCCTTCAGGGTGACACCGGGGCTAGGAGACACCTAGCGGCCTGATGCCAGGGGCAGGCTTCCTAGTTTAAGCCAGGCCCCACCCTAACCGCTCCAGGTCTCCCTTCCCGCGTGTGTGCTCACTGCCGCTTCAGGCTTTGCATGCTTCCATCTGGAAAATAAGAATCATCTGACTGCAGAAGGCAGGGAAATCGCAGGTCTGACACACAGCCGTGGATTTCATTGCTCCTGTCCAAGCCTCCTCCTGGCACTGAAATACTCAGGGTGCGGCCTCCAGGAGCAGGCTCAGAAGGGTGAGCTTCTTTCACCACCTGGCCTCAGCATGCAGCCGAGCGGCCTGCCGGGGACCCTTTGCTTGGGGGAAGTGGAATACAGAGGTGTCAGGGCTCAGAGAGCACCGGGGAGTGTTGAGCACGGCTCCACTCTTGTCCACCTTTGGCAAGTGTGAGGCTCTGGCCTCACAGGTCCTCATGTGTAAATCGGGGGTGACCTTGCAAGCTGTCTCCGGCCAACTCGGGGACTAGATGAGGATCACACAGGTCTGCAGCTCTGCCTTTCCTTCCCATGGGTTGGGTCTGGGCTAACTTTTCTGGCCACTAGGAGGGTAGTATGAGAAAGGAGAGGGGACACTACTGTCACCTCTTGCCCTTGGCCAGGGCCCTTAGTGTGACAACAAGACAAGACACCCAGGGGCAGAGGCTGCCAAGAGGCTCTAGCTACAACTGAGCAGAGGTAAGAGAGGGTGCCTGTGAGGCGGGACTGAAGAAGATACAGACAGGACGGAGACGTGGGAAGCTGTAATGTTACAACTGTACTTCTAAGGAACTACAGCTTCTGGACATAATCAAGTTACACAAGGTCACGCTGCCCACCCCCACCTGCTAGGCAAATGACTCCAAAATTCCTGAGAGTCTTACGAGTCAAGGTATTGCCTCTAAATTCTCCTGTAAGCTGACCAATTCCACAGACTTCCAGCCCCAAGACCACACAAATTCCCCCAGACCATAAGCACCTGCACCCCTTTCTGGGGGTGCTCTTTGATTCTGCTTAATACACCTGCCTGTGCCTCCCGTGCTTGCTGTGTGCTGCAACACTTTTCTGGGATGAAAGTGGACACGCCTACTCCATGGAGTGGGGGGCAGGCTGAGGGTCCCCTATCTTCTTTTGGGGGACCTTCCTTAGACCTCATCCAGTGGCCCCTGACCCTGCTCAGTCTATTCCTACCTTTTGTAGGTGTTTTGGTTTTGTCTGTGTACTTACTTTCTACTTATTTTACCAATATGATTCCCCATTTTGGGGAACATGGGAGGTGGAACCTAGGGCCTTGTACAGCTCCATCACCCAGCTATAATCGAGGCCCATTTTTGTTGTTACATAACCACATTTACTTCTTAAAGTAAACTCTGAATTGCTACTGTAAATGGAAAATGACTGATGCTTGCCCGATCAGATGATGGCAGGTGATCTTTAAAAAATACAATGAAAGGAGAGATCCATGTTGGGTGCTAAGACAGGCTAGCCCTCAAAGGAAGCTTTTATACTGATGTAATCATAAAGGCTGAAACAGACGCGAAGAGCGAGCACTGACCACGTCAGATCATGATGTCGAGTGTGTGCTGTGTCTGCACACAACCTGAAACCGCCTCTCACACATCTAAAGCGCACTGCATGGGAGGCCTGGAGCTAAAGGGTCCAGGTTGCCTAAGCTTGGGGAGGCCTCAAGCTGCTCAATGAGAGGCGGGAGTCAGGGCTCCACCGCCAAGTGCCAAGCCTGGAGCCCAACAGCAGGATTCAGAGCTGCTTGCCAGCTGTGACCCTGGGTAAGAAGCCACTCAGTCCCTCTGGCCTCAGTCGCCGGCACCTGGATAGGCTCATCATCAGGGTGCAGGTGCTCATGGAGCCCCCACATCCCACACACAGCCAGGGCTGTGCAAACCTGGTGTCGTCCTTCCCGAGGAGCAGGCCCTCACCTGCCCCGTCTGCGCCTTGTCCGCCTCCATCAGCTTCCAGCTCTCCTCCTGGGCCCCGGGTTTCTGCAGCTCAGTGGCGCTGGTGTGGTGCTTGCTGGCATCACCGCTGTAGGAGGAGGAGCTGCTGAGCTGCCTGGGAGGCAAAGCACAGCAATGTCAACCAAGGATGCCTCGACAGGCACCACGCTGGGGCTGCAACAGGGGCTGCCAACAACGCACATGCCACGCACATGCATGAAGATGCACACGTGTGCCCACATATCGGCCCCACAGCCGTGAGTCCTGGGGAAAGGAGTTAATGGCCCCCAGAGTCTGCACAAAGCCGACGACCACAGGCACACGGAGTGTTTTCTGCACAATGCCTGCATGAAGAGATGGTTCTGGATTCTCCCAGGGGCCTCTGGGGCGAGTCCAACCCTCTCCACCCCTCTTCTACATCCATAACGTAGGAAGATCCAGCTAGTTGGATACTTATCTTAGTTTTTTCATTTGGTTTCAATTTTTGGATGCTTTTTCATGCTTGGAAGATGACCTAAGATCAGCCCTTTTGATTTATTTTTATCTTTGTTTTTTGGAGGTCAAGTCTAATGCTTTTTGGTAACTATCTGCATGTAATTTCAAATTTATAGCAAAGCTCCAAAAATACTATGAGAGATTCTGTACATCCTCTACCAGACTCACCCGTTCCTCCCATTCTGCCCCCATTTGCTTTACCCTTTAACCATAGGTATCATTCTCTTGGAATATAAATACATCAATTTCTGAATTCGGCGTCATTTTATTTTCCATGTTAAAATAGTTTAACGTTAATGCCCCAAAATACATAAACGAGATATGCTCACCACCCACAATAACAAATGGTCCCGCTATGGTCTGGACACAGCTTGCCCCCCACCGACTCGCCACAGTCTAATCTTCACGATGCAGTATTTCAAGGTGGGCTGCCCGAGGCCTTCGAGAGGCGACCAGTTTGCCCTCAGGAACGTGTTCGTGCATTCACGGGACTGACAGGGAATTTCAAGAGTGGATCTACTGTGAAAGCCCGTTTGGCTAAGGCCCCTCTCTGGCCCTCCTGGTGTCTCCTACATGATGCCTGACCCCGGCTGGGACTCTGGTGTAAGAAGGCCATCACTGACACAGTGGCACATTCTGGAGGCTGAGGCAGGAGGATTCAGAGTTTGAGCCCAGCCCGGGAAACTTAGTGACTTTGCAAGACCCTGTCTCAAAAACAAAAGCAACAACAACAACAAAATCAAAAACAAACAAAAAAACCCCTTTTTTTTTTT